CCCACCCCGTTTCCCAGGATTAGGAAATGGCAGGGCAGGATCCTGGTGGACAGGAAGTGAGAACCGCTTCAGGTCATATGTCCAAGGCTTGGAGAGAATTCAGGCTCTGGGCTTACCTGGGAAGGGCCAGTTTCTCTCTTGTCCTGGTGTCCTGCTTTCCAAATTTCCCTCGGGGGGTGGTGGAGGGCTGTCACTTTCTGTCCCACTTCCTTCTCCATCACAGGCCAGCCCGGTGCTCACAGGACACTCAAACACTGGGCCCTAGCACCTTGCCTCGGGCGTTCCCACCCCCCAACCAGTTTCCGCCCAGAGAAGTGAACAGACTCCCCTGAGGGTCTTCCAGGCAGGGTGTGGGCAACACATCCCAGTGAGGGTACGGGAAGGAAACCTTAGAACTCCTGGTTCTGCTCCTTTTTCATCTCATACTTTTCTTATTCATAGTTATTATATAAGTTTTAAAATATACATACCAGATTTATAAAGTGTTATTTCTGTAACAACTTATAAAATACACATAATTTGGGAGGATTGTTCTTTAAAATATTTAACCAACAAGAGTATGCAGTCGAAGTATTTTGGCAAGCAAAGGTCAGCAAACTTTCTCTGTAACACGCCAGGCAGTAAGTATTTCCGGCTCTGCAGGCCATATGGTCCCCGCGGCAGTTCCTGGCGCTGTAGTCGCGCTGTGAAAGCAGCATAGGTAAGAGGTAAATGAGTGGCTGTGGCTGTGTTCCAATAAAACTTTATTTCTGGAGATTGAAATTTGAGTTTCAGAGAAATTTCATGTGTCATGAAATAATGAAATAGTATTCTCCACTCTCCTGCCAACTGCATTAAAAAATGTAGAACCCATTCTCAGCTCCCAGGCTTTAAGCAAACAGGCAAACAGGCGTGGGCTGGCTTTGGTCCAGGAGCACAGTTTGCCAACTTCTGCCCTGGACCTCTGGTTCTCAGACTGGCTTCAGGCTCACCTGGGGTGCTTTTTTAAAATGCATATTCCCAAACCCCAGCCCTGGTTTTGTAGATTCTAACAAACAGTCCAGTTGAGTCAGAAGCACGTAGTCTGGAGATGAGATCCTAAGAAATATAGCTGCAGGATCTCCAGGGAGGGTCCTAGTCAGTTGAACCACCCTGAGGCATGAGGGGTGGGGCGGGGGGGGGGGTAGTGCTGTGGAGGGCCCCAGGATCAGAATAATTGGCTCCTTCACCGCCTTCCAGGAGCTTCCGTCCAGTAGGGGACACCGGTCACAGACAACACAGCCCAATCCTGGGTGTTGCTAGAGCCACTGAGCAGCCCCGGGATGAGGTGCTGAGATGGATCTTGAAGGATGAGAGAAGGCTAGACCGCCCCAAGTGGGGAGGGTGGGCTGCCTCCAGCTTCTTCTTCACCCCTTCCCTTCCCCACCATTTGTCTGCAGGACCTTGACAGGGTCCTTAGCCTCTCTGGACACCAGGGCTATAGCATGCTACCTCAGAAGCTTGTGGGAAGGCCGGGCGCGGTGGCTCACACCTGTAATCCTAGCACTCTGGGAGGCCGAGGCGGGCAGATTGCTCGAGGTCAGGAGTTCGAGACCAGCCTGAGCAAGAGCGAGACCCCCGTCTCTACTATAAATAGGAATAAATTAATTGGCTAACTAAGAAAATATATATAAAAAAATTAGCTGGGCATGGTGACGCATGCCTGTAGTCCCAGCTACTCGGGAGGCTGAGGCAGAAGGATTGCTTGAGCCCAGGAGTTTGAGGTTGCTGTGAGCTAGGCTGATGCCACTGCAGTCTAGCTCGGGCAACAGAGTGAGACTCTGTCTCAAAAAAAAAAAGAAGCCTGTGAGGAGGATTGAGTGAGCTGCTCTGTAGGACGTGTGTCAACTGGGCCTGCTACATGTGTCTCCTTCCCTCATCCCCAGGTTTGCCCGCTGCCAGTGGACGGGGCACACTTAGGGGGTGAGTTGGGGGATTCACCTGTCGCCCTTGTCCCAGGGAGCTGAGAGCCGGGGGTTGGCCCGTGTCTGGGAGAGCCTGGCTGCCCTTCCTGGTGGGAGCGAGGGGTTTCCAGCCTGGCCAGGCTTCTGCCCCCGTAAGTAGAAGTAGTTCTGCTGGAGGTGTTTTGCCATTTGGGGCAACGATATGTGTATGTGAGTCTCCGAGACTCGTCTGACTGAGAAGTCCAGGAGATCTTGTTTATGTCACAGTTGGACCAACCAGGCTGTCATTCGCTGTCCTTGTTTGGCTTTGTTCTTGAGATGAGCGCTCTCTGGGGTGGGCAAGATGGACAGCAGGGGCCCCAGACCTGCGCACTCCACCTGCTTCCTCTTGGCTCATGCAGGAAAGATCTCTGCAGGCTTCTGATTGGCCCAGCTTGAGTCATGTGTCCAGAGGATGGGTCCTTCTGGCCGGGTCTGCGTCTGAGCACCTGAGTCAACCCTTCCCTCCTCCCCACCCTGTCCCACCTTCCTAAGTTCTGGCCACCTGAAGACTCCTGCTGCCCCTCCCTCCTAGGCACACTTGAACTCCCAGAATGCCCAACCTGTGCTTCCCTGCCATTTGCACCTTCAAGTCCTCCTTGTCCTTCAGAGCTTAGCCCCAAGATCATGTCTTCCAAGAGGCCTTCCCCTGACTCCAGGAGGAAGGAACCTCAGTCCCCTGTTAATACAGCCCATGCTTTTCCATCTTGCTGTTGCAGAACCTCCTTCCCAACAGACCAACCTCGAAGGTGGGACCCACTTTCCCTCCTTATTCATCCTCTTGGCCCCAGCAGATGGCCGGGGTCTGGGCACAGAGTGAATCCAGTAAACGTGGAAGCAGGGCCAGCAGAGAACACGGCAAGGCTGCCTGTGATCAGGGTATATGCCGCATTTCCAGAAGCAGGTTTCCCTGCTCCATTCCCTGTCACGCTGGCTGCCACAGGAAGGCGTGGATTGTGCAGGGTGCCCACAGAGAGCAGCATCCCACATCCACGTGCTGGGGGTCACGTCGGCCACACTCAGTGGGGTGGCCCAGATCATTACCATCTGCATGTCTTGTGTGGCTCTTACTAGCCTCACAACCCACCTGAGATGCGGGTGCCTGAGAGTAAGGACTCTGTCTCTTCTTTTGTCCCCTATTGGCCCAGCATTGGGCCAGCGCCGCTCGGATGGGTGAGAGCTGGACGGGAGGCTGAGGGCATCCCGCCATGTTGAGCAGCAGAGGAAGGGGAATGGCAGGCCCTCGGCGGCAGGGCCAGGGTGCCACCAGCCCCAGGGAGCCGCTGGTCACTCTCCAGAGACTAGCTCTTGGCTGGGATCCAGGAGACCTTCACAGGCTTCCCTTTGGGAGTCTGGCACAATCCCGGAAAGTCATCCAGACAGTTCTGCAGAAGTAGGAGGAGGAAAGGGCTGGAAGAGGTGCCACAGAGCGTGGGAAGCGGAGGAGAACCGCGGCTGGGTAGGGTCTGAATCCAGCTGGAGAAACCCGGAGCCTGTGCTCTGGCCCCACCTTGGGACTCAACATGAGGACAAGGTGGATGAGGGACTGTTCCTTTCCGACTCAGTTGGCCGGAGGTTGAGCTGGGGCTGGGAGCTGGGACACGAAGGGACCAGTTGGCCCTGAGGTCCCTTTCTGGTGGTTGGGGTGGGTGATTCTTCTGGCCGACCCTGCTTAGGTCTTTGTGATGGAGGTGGCAGGGGCTCACCCCGCACTGGCCAAGTCCTCTGTCATAGCACCCAAGGATCTGGGCGGAGAGTGCAGCTTCCCTCCCCTCCCCCGACTTTGCAGGATGGCACCTGCCTCACGCCAACCCTCCTGACCTTGGTGGCTCATGCACCGGCCCTGAGCAGTCACAAGTCTCAGTCCTCAAACAACACGAGGCCCAATTTAAGACTCCTGTGTGACGGTGTAGAGGTGGGGGTCCCCGCAGCCAACAGTGCCCTGTGGGGGCAAGAGGCTGGGTGGAGGGGTTGGAGCCTCACATGCCTGCCCAGTGGGTGGTCTCGATGGCGTGCATGACTTCTCTAGACCTCTCTCTGCCCACTTTGGAACTAACAAGAGGAGGAACCCATCTAAAGACAGCATCCCCTTCTCAGGAAAGGTCCGGCATTTCTTGTCCCCAGTCTGGGTCCTTGGCTGAGCATCCCTACACTCTGGCTCGGTGACATGTGCACCTAGTGATGGAGAGCAAAGCCCTGGATCCTGCGTGATCTTGGGCAACTCACTTCACTTGTCAGCGCCTTTGTTTCCTTCTTGTTTTTTTTTTTTTTATTTCGGCATATTATGGGGGTACAGATTTTAAGGTTTCAATAAATGCCCATTTCCCCCCTCCCCCCACAAGTCTTAGTCTCCAGCATGACCATCCCCCAGATGGTGCACATCTCACTCATTATATATGTATATCGTTTCCTTCTTTTTTGAGACAGTGTCTTCCTCTGTTATCTGGGCTAGACTGCGGTGGTGTCATCATTGCTCACTGTAACCTCAAACACTGACCTCAAGTGATCCTCCTGCCTCGGCCTCTCGGAGTGCTAGGATTACAGATGTGGCCACTGTGCCCAGCACCTTTGTTTCCTTCTTGTCTGTTACACGGGGACTGCGCTGTCCCCGTCGTAGGCGCTGACGAGGTCAAATGAGCCTGTGATGTGAAGCACCTGCTGCAGCGCCTGGCGCGTAGTGAGAGCCCAAGAAGCAGAGTTGCTGCTGTGCTTACTGTTGGCCAGGCGGATCCCCTGCCGCGGGCAAATAAGAATGACAGATGACAACTCACATTTGTGTGAGGCTCCAGCTTTCGTGGCCCTTTAACATCTGTCATCTCATTGCATCCTCCAACACCACCTGAAGGAGATACCGATGTCCCATTTTGCAGAGGTGGAAACTGAGGCATGACAAGGTTAGGCACTTGGTGCAAGGGCACAGGCCTGGCTCTCGGCCTGGAGCCCTGGGGGCATCTCTCCCACCGGGATCTTGAGTGCCGACGGAAGGGGACTGGTTGGTTTGCTCTGGGGTCCTTCACCCAGCGCCTTCTGCCCCTGCAGATAAAGTACCATGAGGAGTTTGAGAAGAGCCGCATGGGCCCCAGCGGGGGCGAGGGCATGGAGCCGGAGCGCCGAGACGCCCAGGACGGCAGCAGCTACCGGCGGCCCCCGGAGCAGCAGCAGCCCCACCACATCCCGATCAGTGCCCCGGGTGAGTGGGGCAGGGCACCTGTGGCCGGGCTAGGCTGGGGGTGCGGCGGAGGTGGGACAAGCCTCGTCCACATGTGCGCACGCACACACGCCCTCCCCAGGAAGACGACTGCTTCCCAGACCGCCAGGTCAGCACGAGGGTCAGGCCTGCGCTGGGCCTCGGGCATCCCAAGGGCAGGCGCCCGTGCGGTGGGGCACACGGCCCTGCTGTGGGACATACGGCAGTGCGTGCACACGTGGACTTAAGCCTTTGAGCAGTGGGGCTGAGCCAGGTGGGGGTGGTGCAAATGCGTGACGCGGGCTCTGGGGCTCTGGGAGGGTGGGTTGGCAGGGCTGTCTCTGAGCCTGCCTCCCCCTGCAGTTTACCAGCAGCCCCAGCAGCCGGCGGCCCAGTCCTATGGTGGCTACAAGGAGCCTGCGGCCCCTGTCTCCATACAGCGCAGCGCCCCGGGCGGCGGCGGGGTGAGTAGCCCGGGCTGGAGGGGAGAGGCCAGAGGGAGGCAGACTTTAGGGAAGGCCCCCTGGACACAGCGCACGGAATCTCCTGACCCTTTGACCCTGGCCCCTGTTGCCTGTGTGGGTTGCAGGGATGTCAGCCCCGTGAACAGAGAGGAAGTGTGGTGCAGTGGACAGAGCCTGGCTGGGATTGGGGCCCTGTGTCCCAGCCCTGGGCATAGTCACTCGGGCAAGTCACTCCCTGCCGTCCCAGGCCAGGTTTCCTTACTCTGGCTCCCTGGGAACACACAAAGCCCCTTTCTGCACGGGGCCTTCCAGACCTGCCCTGCTCCCCACTCTCCATGAGGAGGACCCCCCATGTCCTTCAGTTTGTCTGTTTGCCCCTGCCTCTGAGGGGCCCTCCCAAACCATGCCACATGAAGTGGGTCTCCCCTAACGCTGTCTGTCACTGCACCCCACTGGCCTCCCCTGGAGCACTCTGTCCAGTGTAAAAGACTTCTCTGTGTTTGCTTACTTCTCTGTCCCCCGCAAGACTGAGCTCTGCGGGGGCCGGGCAGCATTCCTTTGCTTCCCCTACTCTGAGCCAGACACAGCGGGACTCATCCACCGTGCTGAATAAATGAATGGGCACAGGTAGGAAGGGGCGGGATCAGGCTCACCGCGTCCTTATAGTTGAAGTCCTCCCTCTGTAAGACTGCTATTTGTCCCACTGATGGGTGTGGCTGAGCCACCTTACTGAGCTCCTCCGCGCCGGGTGCCTGAGATTTCAAAGTAGCTCATGTAGAAGCGGGAGACACACATATTCAGAGAAATAAAATAGCCTGAGACACGTGGCCGCTAGAGCCTCCTGCCCTGGGCACACACAAGGGGTGTCGGTGCTGTCTGGGCACCAGGCGGAGCCAAGAGGTCATCGGAAGGATGAGGCTCTAGGGGGTGGGGAAGCTGCAGACTCAAGGCCACAGGTGGCCCTCCAGATCCCTGTGTAGAAAAATCCTTTATTAGAAGGATTTGTTCTGTAAAATTTGGATTCAGTCAAAAGGCCATGCTCAGGGATCCAGAAGGCCACATGTGGCCCCAAGGCTGCAACCTCTCTTCCTTCTGGGAGCTTATTTTCCAGTCATACAAACAAGAATGCAGTAAAGCCGGGCGCGGTGGCTCACGCCTGTAATCCTAGCTCTCTGGGAGGCCAAGGCCGAGGCGGGCGGATTGCTCAAGGTCAGGAGTTCAGAACCAGCCTGAGCAAGATTGAGACCCCGTCTCTACTATAAATAGAAAGAAATTAATTGGCCAACTGATATATATATAAAAAATTAGGCCGGGCGTGGTGGCTCACGCCTGTAATCCTAGCACTTTGGGAGGCCGAGGCGGGCGGATTGCTCAAGGTCAGGAGTTCGAAACCAGCCTGAGCGAGACCCCGTCTCTACCAAAAAAAATAGAAATAAATTAATTGACCAACTAAAAATATATATACAAAAAAATTAGCCGGGCATGGTGGCACATGCCTGTAGTCCCAGCTACTCGGGAGGCTGAGGCAGTAGGATCACTGAGCCCCGGAGATTGAGGTTGCTGTGAGCCAGGCTGATGCCACGGCACTCACTCTAGCCTGGGCAACAAAGTGAGACTCTGTCTCAAAAAAAAAAAAAAAAAAAAATTAGCCGGGCATGGTGGTGCGTGCCTGTAGTCCCAGCTACTCAGGAGGCTGAGGCAGCAGGATCGCTTGAGCCCAGGAGTTTGAGGTTGCTGTGAGCTAGGCTGATGCCACGGCACTCACTCTAGCCTGGACAACAAAGCGAGACTCTGTCTCAAAAAAAAAATAAAAAATAAAAATAAAAAAATAATAAAAAAAAAAGAATGCAGTAAATAAGTATAGAACATAAGGTGAGGTTGTGGCGCATGCTGCAAAGCAAGACAGCAGGGTGAGTCAAGACATGAGGTTTGAGCAAAGTCCTCAGTCAGGTGAAGGAGTAAGTGGGGCGAGGAGAACAGCAAGTGCAAAGGCCCTGAGGCAGCAGGAATATTCTAGGAAAGTTCATGGACTAGCAGGGAGGCCTGGTAGGAGGTCAGATTGTGCAGGGACTCGCAGGTCACAGGAAGGCCTTTGGGACTGGCGATCTGTGCAGAGCGACGGGGTTAGACTTGGGTTTTGAAAGATCACTCTGGCAGCCATGTCGAAGAGGCAGTAGAAGTTGAGCGGGAAGCAGGAGACACATTGGGAGGCCGTGGCCGGATGCAGACAAAGGCGGAGTTGGAGACGAGAGACGCCGAGTTCGCTCCGTGATGAGTGTGACCTCTTATCCCAGAGGCTGTGGGTTTCAGTGTCCTGCGGAGCCTGAGACTAGCTGATGTCGAGGGCAGTGCAGGTCAGAGGAAGTCAGAACGTTGCCCACCTTGGGGAACACGTGGGTGTCACATGCCTTTGCTGGACATTTCCTAGAGCTGGGCTTCAGCAGAAGGTTCTGGCTGAGGTTTGGCAGGTGGCACCTGATAGATGCTCTGCAGATTTTTCTCCCAAGGAAAGGTCTTTGTCCTGAACTTGGGAATCTTCTTCCAGACTCATCATAGCTTCAAAAAAAAAACACTGGGGCTTATAATAATACAAATAATAGCAAACAGGGTATGCTGTACTTTTAGACACTGCCTGGCTTTGAATCTGTTGAACCTTACTGCATCCCGTTTGGGGAGGTGGGACAGAGCTGATGTGACCTCAGGCCCCGCCCTGCACCTGGCCCTTAGCAGACCCAAGTACATTGTAAAAGGTGGGTTACACAGGCGAGAGAGAGCCTGGTGCCGCGTCCCTGGCCCCCTGCTGCCCTGGGCTCTGTCCTGGGGTCCTGGAGAGTTAGGAAGCCATGCCCAGACCAGGTGAGCTGGCCGGCGAGCCCTTGGCCAGGGCCCCGGCTGACTGCGCTCCCCCTACAGAAGCGGTACCGCGCCGTGTATGACTACAGCGCCGCCGACGAGGACGAGGTCTCCTTCCAAGACGGGGACACCATTGTCAACGTGCAGCAGATCGACGACGGCTGGATGTACGGGACGGTGGAGCGCACAGGCGACACGGGGATGCTGCCCGCCAACTACGTGGAGGCCATCTGAGCCCCGGGCACCCCCACCTCGCTTCCTGGGCGTGACCCGTCCACCCCTCCGTGTCTGTTTTTTAAAATCCGCGACAGCTTGTGATTCCCACCCCTTCTCCAGCTTCTTTTGCCAACTGAAGCCTTCTACCACTTCTGTGGGCTCCTTGGTCCGGCAGGTTTCCCCTCGACCGACTTCCTGGTTTCTCTCTGGATGGAACAGGCGCGGGCCGCTCTGGGGCAGGCCGAGGCCGGGCTGCAAAGGGAGACCCGTTGGCTCCCCGGCCTCCCTGCCTCTGTCTTCTCTCGCCTCAGCCTCCTGCCCAGCCCCTCACACACCCACACATTCCAGGGCTGGGCGAACCCCACACTCCCAGGACCCCAGGGCAGGGCCTCCATACGCCCCCCAGAGCGGGACTACCCCTTTGTCCCTGTTGTGCAGGGCCCAGCGCGATGGGCTTCACTGCTCTTCTTAAGAGGGGGCTCCTGGCCCACCAGAGGCCTCCTCCCCAGGCTGTCCCTCCCCCAGGGCGGCGGCAGGAGAGCGGAGTTCCCGTGTTGGCATGAATTCGTCCCCCACACGTTCCTTCTCACTGTGATTTTGCCCTCCTGCCCACACAGCCCAAGGGGGAGTGAAGAACTCCCCAAGAAGCACAGCTTGGGTCAAGGTCTTGCCTTTCTTTACAACAGCTGCAGGCAGGACGGAACAGGGTGTTCTCTCCCATAGCCCTTTTTCCCCACTCCCGCCCGGCAGTGGGTTAGGTGGGCGCTCCTCCCGGGAAGGTGTCTCGGGTCCTTCCCGGCCTCCCCGTCCGGCCTGATGCCACGTGCGCGTGGAGCAGCGCAGGGCCCGCAGGAGCTCTCTGTCCCCGAGACCTGGGTGTGGCCGGGGTGTGTCTGTGAGTGTCTGGCAGGCGTGCGTGTGTGTGCGCGTGAGGGCGAGAGACGCGTATGTGCAGGTGCGGGCGTGTAAGGGCACACAGACCCGTTTTCCCTGATGTTTTCCTCAAAACCCACAGCGAGAGGGGAGGGCCCTGCACAGTGTGCTGGGCAGAGGAGGGGGTGGTGGGGGCTGACCTGGGCCTGCAGCTTCCTGGGAGAGGCGGGGGAGGCTCCCTGGCTCCAGTCTCTGAGTCTGGGGCTGTGGGGTAAGGTGCCAGGAAGACCCTGTGTCACCCACACTGTGGGTGCCTCACTCTGGGGGCTCTCCCTGCAGACACTCCCCCCTGACATCCTCCCTGCCCCCCGCTTACATAAAGGCCCCGAAGCAAGGGAGCGGGTCCCGGCTGCAAACTTAGAAGCACAGGCTCCGGGACAGGGAAGGGAGCGTGGTGCTATGTCCAGTTCCTTCCCTCCGCTCGTCGCGGCCGTGACGGCCCTTGCCGGATTTTATTCATCTCTGAGCCCTCCTCCCATCCTCGTCCGAGTCCATCCAGGCCCCACAGCTGACATCTTGTCCCTTTGCACACCTGTACCCTGCAGGTGACGGAAGGGGCCCAAAGGTGTCAGTCCATTCAGCAGTCGAGTCACCGTGGGTGTTTCTGTCAACTGCTTGTGAGCTGATTTGGGAGGATTTGCCCCATATCAGAAACTGAGGAAAGGCCTGTGCGTGAGGAGCCCCTGCCTGCACAGCCCCTTTTCCCTGCTGGCCCCAGCCTAGGTGAGGGTGGAGGGGTGTCTTACATGGGGCAATTTGGGGATGACAAGCAATCTTGGCAGCCTCGGGGGAGGCCTCGCTGGTGCATTCCACTTCCTCCTGATCTCAAAGCACAATGTGGATTTGGGGACCAAGGGTCAGGGACACATCCTGTTCAAGGACCTGTAGTTGGGGAAGTGGTGAGTACGTGGGTGGAGGTCCCACCTCCCAGCAGCAAGCAGCAGCCTGTTGTCACTCAGCTTAATCTTCCTTCCCAAATGAGGTAAGCCGGCCACTGGAATCTTGCTGCCGGCCCCTGCCTCAACTCCTCACATCCTAGAAATAGGGGCCATTTTCTTATACACCCCCAGAGAGAGGAGGGACTGTCACATTGGTGCTGAGGGACCCAGGGGCTACTTACTGGGCATCCTTGTTCCTTGCTAGAACCATCCATCCATCCCTGGAAGAGCACAGAACCTCAAGGGCTGGGTTGAACCCCTGGTCTTTTCTGTAGTTCACAGAGGTCTTTTGGGAAAGGTGCAGCAAAACTAGAATGTGAATTTAACTTTCGTGGACCAATAATGAAGTGCAAGCCCCATGGTGAGAAAAGTGAATTCTCCCAACTCTGCTTCCTGTTTTCTCCCCTCATGTCCCTCCAGGGAAAACTACTTTACTGCTTAATTTCTGCCTTTCCCCCCCTCACATATGCACTTTTGGCCCCCTTTTTATAGCTGGAAAAAACAAAACACCACCCCACAAACCTGTATTTAAAAAGAAATGACCGTGTGAAACTTGCCTGTGTCCAAACATGTCATCGTGTGTGTACAGCCGTCCATTCATCTTTTTATATGGGGGTGTCGTCCTATCTTGGTCTGTCTGGTCTTCTCCCTCGTGGGCTTGTGCTCGGGATCAAATCTTTCTGGCCTGTTATGATTCTGAACATTTGACTTGAACCACAAGTGAATCTCCTGGTGACTCAAATAAAAGTATAATTTTTACCTGCGGACTTGGTTTCCTCTTTGGCTCTGAAGTGGTGCTACGCATGCGTGTGTGTGCGCGCTTGCGTGCACGTGTGTCCTGTCTGCTTGAGGGCACTGGCCCGTTGCCCTCCTGGGAGCCCTGCAGCCCCGCAGGGAGAGAATGACTGCTCTGCCCCTGGCACCTACTTCCTCCTTGGCATCTACTTCCTTGTAGTGGAGAATCTCCCACAAGCCTGCTTCTGGCTTCTACCTACTCATTCCTCTCTACCCAACTTGGTGACACTCCCACAAGCCTCCCTGAGCTCCCCATCTCCGCTTGCCGCCTGTCCCCCCACTAGCTGGTGGGCCCAGGGCAGGCGATGAGTCTTAATTCATCTTTAGATCCCCAGTACCAGCCCAGGGGGCTGTAGGGAGCTGCTCCTCCAATATTTGTTGAATGAATGAATGAGCCCAGCTTGGGAGCAGTTCTAGCACTTGGCCACTGCCTGGCAGGTAGTGGAAGCTCAACACAGGTTTGAAAGATGAAATGACAGGACATTTGCAGTGGGGCAGGATCTGGATAAACCCATCGATAAGGCAGCCTGGCAGGCATGCCAAAGCGCTGTTCGCAATACCTTCTGAATGTGATCTTTAACATATTTTTTCCTTCCATCTTTCTATTAATAACAGCTATGTGAGAGAAGTAAGTCCCTTGGCGTCCTTACACAGGGCTCGCTGAGACCCAGAAAGGCACAGGGGTTTGCTGAAAGTTGTGCAGCCAGTGGCAGGGCCGGGGCCTTAGGTGCCTCAATGGATGCATGATGCACGCAGTCCCACTCGGGGCCACCTCGCCATGGCGGGCCTGTTGACCGTGGCAGCTCTGATATTCATGTCTCCCATGCTCCATACCTTGTTTCAGGTGCCCAGGGTCTGTGACCTGTGGCCAAAAGGCTGGTGACCTCCCCTCTTGCTCAGCAGGGCTGGGAAGAGGACATTGGGATCCAGTCCCTTCCGCCCCCACTCAGGGCTGCTCCAGCCTCATGTCCCACCCGCTGTGGAGAGGGGCATTTCCCACCTGGGGCTCAGAATTGAAGCATTCTCTGGCCTTGGGATTACAGAATGGTGGAGAGAAAAAGGGCTAATCAGGAGAAAGCGATGGTCCGAGCTAGCAGAGCTGGAGCAGCGTGGGAAGTACTAGGCAGCGCTGACACCCACTCCCTACCCAAAGGAGCCGCTGCCTAATGTTTTCCCGATGGAGGGGAATTAGCTGGTAGATCTTGCATCCTGTTAGCATGCCCCCCTCTGCAGGGCTGCAGCCCCCCCAAGAGGCTTCATTCACCCTCAGAGCCATCTGAGGGGCAGTCTGCCCTGGGGGGCTTCAGTGCCAAGTCTCACAGAAGGCTCTATGCTCTGCTGCCTGGGGACCAGCCAATGGGAGGTGTTTCTAGACCCTTCTAGAAGCAGCCTGAGTTCCTGAGGTCTAGCATGATGAGGGGGCTTACTAATGTCTTAACCCCAGGCCCTTCAAAAGAACTATTTGGGGTGTCCGCCAAGGAAACTAGCCCTCAGAGATGTCCCAGGAAAATTTAACAGGAAATAATTGAGGCTTACAAAAAGACACAAAACAACACAAGACATAACTGAGTCTTAAGAAAGAACCAATAATGTCAATCCTTTCCTCTTCAGAGGAAACCACTTGAATTTGCATTTCTAGACACTTCCTGCACAGGGATGGGCCTGAGTGTCTTCAGTGTCTCCTCAGTGTGTAACATTGTGCTGAGCTCTCGGAAGAGGATACGAGAGGAAACAAAACCTGGGTAGTGACTGCTGAGAGGTGAAGGAACACATAGAGGAGAGACCTCAGTGCTCAACCTGCAAATGGAGCCAGGGGAACAAAAGGCAGGCAGAGAGGAGGGGCCTTCCAGACTCACAGGTGAGCCAACCTGGGGCATGAGAAAGAAAATGGACTTTGGAGGCCGGATGGTGTGGCTCATGCCTGTAATCCTAGCACACTGGGAGGCTGAGGCGGGAGGATCGCTTGAGGTCAAGAGTTTGAGACCAGCCTGAGCAAGAATGAGACCCTATCTCTACAAAAAATAGAAAAGTTAGCTGGGTGTTATGGTGCATGCCTGCAGTACCAGCTACTGGGGAGGCTGAGGCAGGAGGATGGCTTCAGCTCAGGAGTTTGAGGTTGCTGTGAGCTATGATGACAACACTGTACTCTAGCACCAGGGACAGAGTGAGACCCTGTCTTAAAAAAAAAAAAAAAGGAATATGGACTTCGGAGTCTGCAAGCCTAGTTTTGAATCTCTGTTCCCGCCATTTCTAAGCTATGAAACATTAGGCAGGTCCCTGACCATCTCTGAGCCCCGTGTATGGACAACTTGGAGGGAGGCTGAAATTACACCGCGGTGCAGCACCGGGCTGTGCAGTACCTGGTGCAGTATAGGAATCCCAGTTAGGTGAGCTCCACCCCCCCCATGCCAGCTGAGATCCACAGGAGACCTTTGTCCGTGCACCCCCAGAATGTGACCTTTAGAACTTGCCAATGACCCACCCAACTCACAACCATTATTTTTCTGAGATAATTTGCCAGATATGTGTGATGCGAGAGGAAAAAGGGAGGCGGCGGCAGTCAGGAGGATTGATTCCGGGGGATCCGGAGAGAGGTCTTACCTCCTCCTACACGCACAGCAGGCAGACTCCATTTAGACACAAAGGGGTGGGACTGGGTTCGGGGAGAAACTGAGCCTCCTCGGTGCGGTCTGGTCTAGATCCAGCAGTTCCCCGGTTACCCACCCTGGGCGCTGCGATTGGCTGGCCGCGCCGAGTGTCGGTGGGGGGCGAGCCGCCGGCGGGGCCGCAGCATCCCTCAGTCTCAGGCCCGGGAGGGGGAGGGGAAAGGCCGAGGCCGAGCGGTGGAGGGAAGAGGAGCCATTTCTCTCCCCTGACTGCAACCTCCGTGCTCACAGCTCACAGTTTTCCAGAATCCAGGGCCTGGGACTGCACGATGCTTGATATTTTCATCCTGATGTTCTTCGCCATCATAGGCCTGGTCATTCTGTCCTACATTATCTACCTGCTCTAGTGGCCTGGAGCGGCGGCCGAGAGCTGCAGGCAGACCGGAGGGGAAGGATGAAGCCGAAGGGCCGAGCATCCTGCTTGCTGACGCACCGGTGGAGTTTTGCTTCTGGTCATTATTTCGGGTATTGATTCAAAAACAAAATGAAGAGCTTGTTTTCCTATTTTTTTCTTAGATGCCCATTGATGTAGCATTTCTCAGACAACCCTGAAAAGAACAAGAAAATGCCAGCTTCTTTCTTGAGGACCTAATTTAAAATAAAATTTTAAAAATGAAAAATAAAGCCCACAATGCAAAGGGGTTTTAGGTAGCATGGGTGGGGAATGATGGGTGTGGCAGGGAGGGACTGTTATTTCCTAATTTCTTCTTCAAGTTAGGTGCTCTAACTCCAAGTTGCCTATTTTCTCCCTGTAATTAAAGGTAAAACACATCTCTATATGTCAGCAGGGTTGTTTTACAACTATGCTTGCCTAATTGCATTAATGAATTAATTATTAACTCATTCCTGAGAATGAGATAGCTAGTAAACTTTACTTGGGGTGGGGTTCTGGTGGAGATGTTCATTTTTTTCCAACTGTAGGATTTGGCGGAGAGGAGGGAGGAACTCCTAATTCTTTTCCTAGTTCATGACCAGTACTCGGGAGCTGGTATCTTTGCTGCTGTTCCTATCTGAGCCTTTTTGTTTCTGGGTTTCCCACAGCTCCTGGTCGCCAGTCCAACAAGAGGCCTCTTATCAACAGCAGCTGCCCAACAGACCTCTTCCAGAGCCTTCCGGACATGGTTAATCCCTGGCAAGCAAGGGGCTTTTTGAGCTCAGAGGCAGAGCACTGGGCTGGGACACTGGGAATGCATGGACATGACTGGCAGATGCTGCATGTGTTTGGGCTGTAGATAGTGTTGAGAACACAGAAAGTTGAAATGTAGACTCATTAAAGTTACCATGGAGAACCGCTCAAAAATTCATTTTGATAGCCTTTCCTTAGGTCTAAATGCAACTACATATTACGCTCAAATATGGTCCTTCCTTTCCCTCTCACATGCAGGGGTTCCCCTGTTAAGTTTAAGAGCAAGTTCAAGTTGTCTAATCTTCATCTATGAAGTAGTCACTTTATCACTGTCTTTATAGATTATACCATCTGAGGTTGTGTGGTTTTCCTTGTCTCACTCTCCAGCCAGAAGGAACTTGTCATTTGAGTTTTAAGATTTATCATTTCTTCCCCACCTCAAACCACTTGTGTCCCAGCTTCTCATTTAAAGAGAGAAACGTATATAGTCCTTATTCTTGCACCTGACTGAATTATAAATTATTGAAACAAGATGGTTATATTTATTTAGGAAAAACGTCTTACCCCAAAATTTTATTGTCAAATGTTCCTTTTCTGGAAAAAAATTTTTCAATATATGTCCCATTAGGGCAGAAAAAACTATATATTTGGGGGTTGAGAGTAGAACTGGCCCCCAAACCTAGGGTATTTATTCCTTTGACAAATCCATCATAATTTGTTCTACATTTTGATTTCCCTTCTAGCTTAAAAATAAACAAGAGAAAGATGAATACTTTTTAGTAATAACATTGTATTCAATTTCTATGTTTTAAAAAGAAATAAAATTGAAGTATTATAATATATGTGACAATTAAAATGGAACACTTGCATTTTAAAATTCAGAACAAGAAAAAACATTATTCTCAACACTTTGTCTTGGCAACAAATTACATTACCTTTAAGAAGTCATTTAATCTTTAGGGCTTCAGTTTTTTCTGTCAAATGAAAGAGTTAGACTAGAAAATTTTTAATATCCTTTTCCATTTTAAAATCTAGAATTGTAGAATGCATAATCTTTGGAAACTACATGACTGAGAGCAGAATTCTCATAGCTCTTACGATGTTGCCCAGGCTGGCCTTGAACTCCTGGCCTCATGAGTCTTCCCACCTCATCCTCCCAAGTAGCTGAGACTACAGGCATAATCTACTGTACCCAGCTTGGAACAAACTCTTAGCAGTTTACTGGTAGTTCCTGTTTCCATTCCCTCTCCCCAAAATGACATTTTATAACGAAAACTCAACTGCAAAACTTTTTTTTGGGCCACATTTGGAGGTTTTCTCCTCTAATATTTATTTACTCCAAATATATATTATTATATCAGTGATAATTTGTCTAAAATGTTTAGGAAGTATTAACAAAGACAATACTACATGGTGGTATGTAGCAAAAAGACAGGTAATCTGACAGGTACACTAATGTAAGAAACATGGCTCTGAACATCGATATATTTAGGAATAATTTTCAGGAGTCCTTGATATGAAATTTCCCCCTAAAATATTCCTCTGACTCCATAACCTTGTGTTTTGAACAACTTTCCACTTCAGGCCAAGATAGCAGCTCTATGTCCTGAGGTAACTGAGGCAAGTGCCAGCATTTTGGAGGGGTCCAAATTAAACAATTGTGATGGCGTAGATCTTCGTGGTATGTATATACACTTTTTAACCAAGCTCGCTCTGGAGTCTTCTTTCTATGATGTCAAGGCTTTTCGGTCTGTTTCCATACAAAGTTGAAACCACTAATCAATTCAGTAAAAAAAAAAAAAAAAAATCAGCCAATTTTAGTCACATGTTAGTGATACGGCTGGTATCGGGCACAATGTAGGGACAGAAGATTACTCATCTTTTCAGTTACTTATGAAATATAGTTTTAAAAAACAAATAATTATATTTTGGAAGAGATTTTATGACTTTGTGTCTATATCTATGCTATAACATGCCAGTTTATGACAGGGTTTTACTGTGTTATCTTGATAAATTTTTAAATTTCACGCTTAAACTATTTTATATTGGCATCCTAAAACAAAATAAAACACTGAAAAAAGTTACTTCTGTAATATAAAGTTTTGTATAAATTTTATAAATCTGTGGCATAGGGCAATCATGTTCAATAAAATGGGGATTGTACTTGACTCATGTCAATGTAGTCAAAACAATTCTGATTAATTGTAAATTAGCTAGAAAAAATTAGTGTGACATAATGCTAAGAATCATTACACTAATACCTGATTCCTTTTTTTTTTTTCTTTTTTTGAGACAGAGTCTCGCTTTGTGGCCCAGGATAGAGTGAATGCCGTGGTGTCAGCCTAGCTCACAGCAACCTCAAACTCCTGGGCTCAAGGGATCCTACTGCCTCAGCCTCCCAAGTGGCTGGGACTACAGGCATGTGCCACCATGCCTGGCTAATTTTTTCTACATATATTAGTTGGCCAATTGATTTCTTTCTATTTATAGTAGAGACGGGCTCTCGGTCTTGCTCAGGCTGTTTTCAAACTCCTGACCTTGAGCAATCTGCCGCCTCGGCCTCCCAGAGTGCTAGGATTACAGGTGTGAGCTACCACGCCCGGCTAATACCTGTTTTCTTGATGAAAACAGGGGATTTGTTTGGAAAAGTGATATATTGTATTTTATGAGACAAGATTACTAAGAGGATAGATTTTGAGAAAGTTAAATAATAGAAAGATAAATGTTACAGAGTTAGAACCACCTATGGCTTATTCATTGTTCTGGGCATATGGAATCAAACCCAAACTTTCTCTTTTTTTTAATTTAATTTTTTAATTTCTTAACTCTATTTTTTTCTTTTCTTATCTAGATTCTTATTCTTTGGGGATAAAAACCCAAACTTTCTGAATCTGAAACTTGGTTTGACATGATTTATTACATTTTAGAAAATTTGTTTGTTTTAAAAGGCTTAAATTTAGCATTATTCAGACTTCAAAAGCCCTTAAACCATCGTTTTAATTTTAAATTACTCAAAAATAATGGGATTGTTTTTCTTAATAAGGTACTTAAGCATAGTTGAAGTGGAAAATTGTCTTTGTGAATTATATTCTTTGGCTTTATCAAACTCTAAATATTTACTAAGCCTAGAATGGCCTCTTCTAAGTCATTTTTGTTACTATCTAAAACAAAAATAGGCCAGGCACAGTGGCTCACTCCTGTAATCCTAGCACTCTGGGAGACTGAGGCGGGCGGATTGCTCAAGGTCAGGAGTTAGAAACCAGCCTGAGCAAGAGCAAGACCCCATCTCTACTATAAATAGAAAGAAATTAATTGGCCACTAAATACATAACGTAAAGTATAGTGATATTATATGTCTATATTAACTATATCAGTACTACCCCGGACGAGGAGAAGGAGAAGAGAGAGACGAGAGAGAGAGAGAGAGAGAGAAATAGCTGGGCATGGTGCGACATCGCTGTATCCCAGCTACTTGAGAGGCTGAGGCAGGAGGATTGCTGGAGCCCAGGAGTTTGAGGTTGTTGTGAGCTAGGCTAATGCCACGGCACTCTAGCCCGGGCAACAAAGTGAGACTCTGTCTCAAAAAATAAAATAAAATAAAATAAAAAATAAAATAAAATAAAATCAAAGTCACATATGAAAGGGGAACAGAAAAAGCCATTGACACAATTTCCATTGTAAAATCAAACACACTAAGGCAGACACATTTAAAAATATTTAAGAAATTCTTGGTTTTTAAAAAATATTTAAGAAATTCTTTGTTCTTAAAAAACATTATAAGATCTTATAGTCATAGGAAATTGCAGAAAATGTGTAACCTCAATAATTACACATTTTGTCTTTTGAAGTTGATATTAAACTATGATAATTGTTGCATTTCTAGTTTAGTAGCCATTGAAATATCAATTGTTTGGGGATTTGGTCTCTGAATTAAGTAGCAGAACAGTGTACAGTACTGTTGTACTCATAGATTATTGTTCAGTTTATCAGCTGTTGCTAGTAAATGAAATTATTTAATTTTTTATATGCTATAATATTAAGCATAAGTATACATATACATACATATATAGCTAATTGCAACTTTTTTTTTTTTTGCATCTTCTGGCAGCAACATTATTTTTTATTAAGACATTTCTTTTTTCTTTTTTTTTTTGAGACATAGTCTCATTCTGTTGCCCGGGTGAGTGCCATGGCGTCAGCCTTGCTCACAACAACCTCAAACTCCTGGGCTTAAGTGATCCTCCTGCCTTAGCCTCCCAATTAGCTGACACTACAGGCATGTGCCACCATGACTGGCTAATTTTTCTGTTTTTAGTAGAGATGGAGTCTCCATCTTGCTCAAGCTGGTCTCGCACTCCTAACCTCAAGCGATCCTCCTGCCTCAGCCTCCCAGAGTGCTAGGATTACAGGCATGCGCTCTAATTAACAGCTTAAATGAAGAGAAGTTTTCCCACAAGAAACTCAAAGACTTGCATAATGACAAACTCTGAACAAGTTGGAAATGTTCAATTTTAATGTGATTTTATTAATATGAATAACAAATTAAATAAAATTTAGCAAATATCAAATATTTAGATATCAAAGACATTTTACCATAAATACAATACTCTTGAAATAACAGTGCATATTTTTCAGTTTTATGCACCTTTAAGAAAGCAGTGATCTTAGATTGTCTACAAGTATTAATTAGAAAAAAAAAACAATTTAAGAGCCTTTCAAAGGCTAAACAGTTAGGTTTTGTTTTTTTAAAAAAATGTCTCTAGTTACTTGAAAAATTTTCTGGAATTATATTTGTTTTCTTCATGAAAAAAAAATTCTTAGTCCTTTGGAACTTTTTTCTTTTCATCTGGAGAAGACTGTCCAATCCAGCTGTCTTTCAGGTCATCTTTCCTATCTTAGTGACCCTTCAATAAACCAAGGAGCATATGTCTATATCCTGATTTCCTTCAGGTTTCACAGCTACCTGCTAGTGGAATTGCTACAGAAGCCACATTGCTAGTAAGGTATATAATTATCAAAGAGACTTTTGTAGCAGCTTTGATTTTACCCTTCACAATATTTACTGACATAAAAATCTGTAATCATATAATTGAGTACTAGTCACATAAAGAGGTTAACTCTTGAGTAATAATCGCACAAAGAGGTTAGTGTTTGTTATTTGTTGACATAAGATGGTTCTTCCAGTTGCACCTTCTGCTGGGTACCTCATAGTTGCCCTAATCTCCAAAGGTGAATAATTACCCTGGCAATAAAATCTTTGCTGTTAACTAAAGAACTGGAAGCATGAACTAAATCATCATAGGATGGGAAAAGTGTGAAACAAGGTGCCTTTGTTCATGCTATGGGGAACTCTCTGATAAACAATGCTTGAACTTCTTTGAACACTTGAACCACTTCCCAAGTGCAGTCATTTACTGCCTGCATTGTGAGTATGATAAAGGTGAGGGGACAGAAGGGCATGAGAAGGAATCATCCCCCAAAATGTTAAAGTTCTATTATTTCATAAGGTACAGGGTACTTATCAAGAGAAATAAACTTCAGTTTCTAGGAAAAGTAGAATCGTCAGTTTGTTATTAGTAATACTACTAATGGTGTGTAGTGGGCATGTAGAAACAATAATAAAGATAAAAGTAACAATGTGTTGTTAAGTTTGCTTTGTAGTGGAAGTAAAAATCATCCTACCAATCAAAGTCAAAGGAGGCTGAGGAAATCACTATAAAAAGGAAAAAAGGGCTGGGAGCCTAGGTCTTCTCATTTAGGCCAATCTTCTAATTTTAAAAAAGTACAGGGTAAATTATTTGACTTGTTAATAGTTTACATGGTTGTTATTATGACTTCTAGAGTTAGTTAGCAATTGACAGTCTCCTAGTGTTTTTAGGCTATTAATTTTGCAGATGCTCATTTTTTTGTGTGATAATACAATTTTTCGTGACAATTCGCTTAAACATCAATAATAATGATAATAATAATAAATACAAATTAATCTCCTACTTTAAAACTTGATATTTCACTTTATTCCTGATGACAAATGTATTCAGGAAAAAAAAGGACCACTGAATTGAAGAAACTATAAATTTGGTCACATATGTTACTTTTATCTATTAATAATTGAATGAAGAATTTATCAGTTTACATTTTATTGGTGGCAAAATGATACCATTTATCTACTGCATCCAAAAACGTAATCAATTTTTTTATGTTCCAAATTTCTGGGGAGGGTGAGATAATAATCTCACAATTGTTGAAAATAATGAAATAATGTCAATTAAAAAAATTTACAGCAGCAGTTACATCAGTTCAAGTAAAGAGGTTCAAAATCCAGATCAAAGATGTTTCAAACTATGCTTCTTTTGCAAACTTGCTGAAAATAACTGCTGTGGAGACTTGGTTAATTCAAGGAATTCAAGGAAACTTTACAATGCCAACTTTCTTTCTCTAAGAAAATGATTTCTAGCATCTATTTAGGAAAATATTAAAAATATTCACTATTTATATTAAAATCTTTACTTTTTTTCTTTATTTTTCTCTCTCCTCCCAAATAATTGAATGGGATACATTCTTGACTTGGAATCACCAGTGTTTTGATACATAAATCTGTGCTTTGCAAGCATATGTGAGAAAAAGAAAAAGCTAATTAAGGTGTAATTTTATACTCTAGTATCTGCCAACTTTTAATCTTTATAATTCAATTATGGGGGAATTCTTAAATTGAAGAAGAAAATGAAACTAGAATAAAAGTAAGAACTTTGTTTTTGCATAAATATGCAAATAAACTCTGGAGAAAAAATTCCTAGCATCAGTGGAATTGCAGTTGGAAAATCCATCTAAGAAAGGCAGTTAATTTCTGACTCTCCAAAAATGAAGGTAAGTGCTTTTGCTATTGAAATACAGTGAAATCTTGTTATCGCAATTTATATTTCCTCCACAATTTTCACTCCTCAGTCCTATTAGTCTCCCACTGAACCCCTCTTGCTAAATATTTGAGAATTTCCCACAATTTACACCACACTTCTGTGAGCAATTTCCGTATCTTTTGGTATTTCTTCCCTCCATCAATTCCAGAGGTAAGTTAAATCTAGAGCTTGGGAAAAGAAAGCTAGCCTCTGAGAAGTCCAGGGGAAGGAGTGGGTCTTCAGAAGTAAAGTGATCAAACCCAAGGAGAAAAAAATCAGAGAGCCAGGAGGACTCCAGCACTATTTCAGCCCATTAGGCACTATAATTATCTACTTGAATGGTAAAAGTGGTGGTGGCAGAAGCTAGTCAGATTGAAATAGTCCTAGAGCTTCTTATAATCCATTTAATAGAATGAAAAGAACCCCTCCTCTCTAATGGGCTGCTCTAACCATGTATGCTTCTAGTTTCCTTCATCAAATCTTACTTTTTCAGATAAGGAGAAAAACTTTAGGAATAAGTACAAATTATTTGTGAAGATTGTTCTGGCAACTGAGTAGCTACTTTCTTTCAGTTTATCTTTTCCCTTATTTGCTACATTTTAGTCTAATCCCCAGGAAAGTATAAAAGATGATTTGATTGTATTGAGATAATATATCTTCTTCTATACACCTTTCATATGGTTCATTTTAAAGGACATATATGTTTGTGCGTGTGTGTCTATATGTATATTTACATATATATGTATGTGTGTATATATATAGACACACACAACTTCTTTTTAGTTTTTTATCTGTTAGTTCATGCAAAACATGAACAAAATATAATGTTCATTGTAAGCATATGCCAAGAAGGTGGTAAAAAATGTGATTTATATTCTGCACATTCCAAACACCATATTGCAAATCTTTACAAAACATTCTGGGCTATGTCTATACAACTTAAGCAAAGTGAACAGATATATACTATTTAGTGAATTTAGGTCTGCTCTAACTATAAAATAGAATTTTCTCTGCTTCAAAGATTCACACATACAGGTTGGGCTACCCCAGATTCTTGGACCGCTAACATTTGTTGGTATTAAGATGACCAAAACCTGGAGAGGCAGAGCTTGTTTACCAGAGAAATCTCAATACATTCTTGAGTTTGCTTGTTATTTTTATATTAATAATGGTGTAAGCAGTTGCTTCTAAAATTCTATGCAGCTTTTGAATTCTTACGTTACTTAGATGACAAAAAAGTCCCACAGATGCTATTTTTCTGGGTGTAAAAAAGTAGCACCCTTCTCATTGTTGGTTCAGTGAGATTTTTTAAAGGCAAGGCTTTCTGCGTATTTAGGTAGAGAGAATATTCATGGTCAAATACAGGACCTCCTTATGGAAGTTAGCCTGAGCATGTACAAGATGGAACAAATTCAAAAAGCTTCTGTCATCTTCATCATGGTCTCCTATATGCCAAACACAGGAATAGACAGCAGGGAAAAGAAAATGATAGTTAAAAATTTAAATATATGATTTATTCGAAACATAAGATATTCTAATTGTCCCTAATAGTATTTAAACAGAAGACTTGTTATTAGTGACCTTTACTCAGTCAGATGTTAACCCCTGAAATCATGGAATTATATAAGAACACTAGATTATAAGTCAGAAGAAGAGGATACTGGGCCATGCTTTATTACTTTTAACTTCATGACCTTGGGCAAGTTAGGTCATTTCCTTTTTTTTTTTTTTTTTGAGACAGAGTCTTACTCTGTTCCCTGGGCTAGAGTGCTGACAGCCTAGCTCACAGCAACCTCAAACTCCTGGGCTCAAGTGATCCTCCTGCCTCAGCCTCCTGAGTAGCTGGGACTACAGGCATGTGCCACCATGCCTGGCTAATTTTTTGTATATATATTTTTAGTTGGCCAATTAATTTCTTTCTATTTATAGTAGAGATGGGGTCTTGCTATTGCTTCAGGCTGGTTTCGAACTCCTGACCTCGAGCGATGCGCCTGCCTCAGCCTCCCAACAGTGCTAGGATTACAGGCGTGAGCCACTACACCCAGCCTAGGTCATTTCTTAATGCCTTAGTTTTCTCATCTGTAAGACAGAGTTAATATCATGTTGATTGCCTAATAAAACTATAAAATAATATTTGTTGAAAGTATACAAATATAAGATATTATAATGATTGTGATGGTTGGCAAGTGAGCAAGTTAAAATTTTTGCTGTGCAAAATTGAAAGTGGTTCCTTTCAGAGCACACTCTTCAACTTTACTTTCTCCATTAAAATCAATACCAGATTTTTTTTTTTTTTGAGACAGAGTCTCGCTTTCTTGCCTCGGCTAGAATGAGTGCCGTGGTGTCAGCCTAGCTCACAGCAATCTCAAACTCCTGGGCTCAAGCAATCCTCCTGCCTCAGCCTCCCGAGTAGCTGGGACTACAGGCACGAGCCACCATGCCCAGCTGATTTTTATATTATATATATTAGTTGGCCAATTAATTTCTTTCTATTTTTATGGTAGAGACGGGGTCTCACTCAGGCTGGTTTCGAACTCCTGACCTTGAGCAATCCGCCCGCCTCGGCCTCCCGAGTGCTAGGATTACAGGCGTGAACCACCCGCGCCGGCCAGATTTTTTTTTTTTTTTGAGGCAGGGTCTCACTCTGTTGCCCTGGCTAGAGTGCCATGGTGTCACCCTAGCTCACAGCAACCTCAAACTCCTGGGCTCAAGCAATCCTCTCCTGGGCTCAAGCAATCCTTCTGCCTCAGCCTCTCAAGTAGCTGGGACTACAGGCATGTGCCATCATGCCTGCCTAATTTTTTCTATGTAATTTTAGCTGGCCAATTAATTTATTTCTATTTTTAGTAAAGACAGGGTCTCGCTCTTGCTGAGGCTGGTTTCGAACTCCGGACCTTGAACGATCCTCCCGCCTCAGCCTCCCAGAGTGCTAGGATTACAGGCGTGATCCACCATGCCCTGCCAATACCAGATTATAAAAGTGACAAAAACCAGGAACTACATTTATCTCAAAGAAAAACAAACAAAAAAGTGTCTGTTCCTCCTATTGTTAGTTTAGAAATAAAAGTCTACACAGAGCTAGCTCTGTCTTAAGTGGAGACTAGATTGCATTTTTACTCCCACCTGTGCTCCATCTACATTCTACTTACCAGACATAACTGATTGCAGCATTTCCATTATAACACATGCAAATGCATTTGCCACACTCTGAAGGAAGTTAATTTTTTCCAATGGCGTGCTAAAGACGTTACATACTTTTTGCATCATTTTAACTGCCCAATTCATGCAGTACAGTTCTTTCTCACACACCTGATGTAGACATACAAAGCATTATTGTAAACCTTCATGTGAAGAAAGCTATAGAATTTGAAAATGTTCTTGACAATGATGGCTGATGGTTTTACATCATTTATCATATACGACACCATACTGAGTCTATAAAATGGGAAATGCTCTTATATCTAATATTCCTTTTCTTTCAAATGGTACAATTTTAGTGGAAAAAAGTGTGAAGTATATAAAAGCCTGGTTCAAGATTATCATAGAATATTATTTATCAATGCAAGAACTAATATCAAAACCAGTTATTGAATATATGAAAAATAAGACTTCTGCTCATTCACTCATTCAATAAACATTTACTGAGCACCTATTAAGATCTGGAGATACAATGACAAGCCATAAAGACACAGTTCTATTTTCAAGGAGTCCAGTGAGGGTGAGAGACAAATAGGTGATTTCAATAGGCAAGAGAACTCTACGGTATTATCAACTTCCTATCTTGAGAGTTGTAAGGAATATTTGTTTCTCCATTGTTTAAAAGATAAACATTTAATGTAAAGATTACATGTTCTTAGCTAAAATTGACTGAAAAGTAAAAGATTTATTTATTAACGTTCTAAATGGCCTACTGAACTCACCATAGCCAAATAGAAAACATACAGCAATATAAACTGTATATAAATATACAAACTAATAATATATAGCAGTGTAAGTAAATAATGTTAATATGACAGGAAAGATTTAGTAACCACTTATTATGTGTAAAGCACTGTACCAGGCACTATGAAAGAAATAGGTGACACAGTCCTGGATTTCAAAGAGCTTGCAATCTACTTGGGGAGATGATCTACCCCACACATATAATGGCTTACAAACACTTAATAGTAACTGAAGATAAAGAGAAGACAAATTGGAGGCAATTTAGCGAACATTAATGATCAGAGTTGAGATGTTAATCAGAGAAGGCTTTCTAGAGGCTTCTCCACCCCTAGTGACTTTCTCTCCATTCCATTTGCTACAGTTCTGCCAAAATGACCTGCCAAAACCACAAAATGGGTTATGTCTCTCCCCTTAAAACTTTTCAGCAGATCTCTATTAGAAGATGGGTTCAAGTTCTGCAGAATGGCCTAAAAAGCCCTTCCTTACTTAGCCTCTCCCTTCCTGTCTAACCTCACCTCCTGCTACTTCTCCTGTGTACATTTTACCCTTCAGAAATCATACTGAACTACTTACGGTGCCTTGAATATAGTCATGTAGTTACACTTATCTACTGCCTTGAATAATCTGCAGCTACCTGCTACCTACCTGGTGACCTCCTATTTGTTTTTTAAAAGCTTTATCTACTGGGATTGGGGAAGCCCTCTCTGTCCTCCATTCTCCCAATACTGGCTCATTTGGCTACCTTTTTTTGTATATATATTTGCACTTATTTCACTGTATTTATTTATGTGTATCTTGATATTTCTTAAAAGACTATAAGCAGCTTGTGGTCAGAGATTTGTTCTATTATAATAATTTCCATAGTCCTAGAATCTAACACAGTTTATGGTAAATAGTAAGCACTCAAATTTATGTTAAATGAATGAATATTAAATATATTTTTAAGACTTTTTATTTTGAAACATTTTAACTATACAAAAGTAGAAAGAATAATAGAAAGAATCCCCAGTACTCATTTCCCAGCTTCATCGATTGCCAATCTGGTTTCATTCAACTCTCCTCCCATTTACTTTCACATTCTCTTCCCATCCCATTGATTTCTGAAGTAAATAAAATAGGATGCTTTTTAAAAATTTTTTTTAAAAGAATGTAATTTAGCAGAGCTGTATAATGACAATCTAGATGTGAAGTGTAGAGAGTTAATATAAAGAATGATTCCAAATATTATAGTTAATTATATATTTTAATACTTTGGGAAAGAAACATTAAAAATATATACTTAGGCCAGGTGCGGTGGCTCACGCCTGTAATCCCAACACTCTGGGAGGCCGAGGTGGGCGGATTGCTCGAGGTCAAACAGCGAGGTCAACAAAAAAACAAAGGCCTGAGCAAGAGCGAGACCCATCTCTACTATAAATCAGAAGAAATTAATTGGCCAACTAAATTAATAATATAGAAAAAATAGCCGGACATGGTGGTGCATGCCTGTAGTTTCAGCTACTGGGGGGCTGAGCAGCAGGTAGGATTGCTTTGAGCCCGAAAGAACTGAGACAGCTAGTATTCTCTATCCGTGCACCGGCATATCCCTCCTATTGTGCCGGCAACAAGTGGACTCTGTCCTTCAAAAAAAAAAAAAAAAAATATATACTACTATACTGATATATACTTAAATAGTTATTCTTTCAAAACATTTTGTGTACACTTCAATTCCTTCAGGTTAGTTCCTGAAGAAATTGTGATGTTAAACAACTTGTTAAAGAAAATCTTATTTTTTACTTACCAAAGCCAAAAAGACTATGAGCCTTGCCAGTTCAATGGCCCGTCCGTTCACAGCTTTACTAGCCATGAAAGTGAAACAGATGCTGTTCCCGCTTAGGATTAGGAGACGTGCATTATTCTCTAGAAGCCACTCACGGGGAACCACTTTTATTAGAGGAAGAACAGTTATTTAATGAGAAATTACACCATAGTTATAGTAAGCACCATTAAATACATGCAGTATTATATCACTTTATTGGAAATACAATTACTGCCAAGGGAAACACTTGGAAAAAATGCTTTAGTTTTTCAGTTACAGCATTGAGCCAGAGACAGATATTATTGCCATGTCATGGTGGCTCTTACAAATGTACTAGTAATATTGTCAAAGCAACCCTCCTCCACATAGATCAGCAGGCAAAGTGGCCTAACTGTGTAAGGAAAGAAACCTTGCAAACTTTAGAATCTAAAGGATTATGCAGGAATGAAAAAAATTGTTTCATCTCTCCTATACCAGCAGAAAAGGGCTTTCTTCCTTACATAACCTACCAGGGTGCTTTTGAGAACTTGCAAAATGGGAGTAATTAAGCTAATTAAACTATAAAGCTTTCAAACAATAAATATATATTTATAAAATTGGAAATCAAAGGAAAGTAAGCTGATGTTACGCATTCACTTCAAACATAATGCCAACTTCTTCATACATTTTAGAGTATTTATTTATTTATTTATTTATTTATTTTGAGGCAGAGTGAGACTCTGTCTCACTCTGTCACCCAGCTAGAGTGCTGTGGCATCAGCCTAGCTCACAGCAACCTCAAACTCCTGGGCTCAAGCAATCCTTCCGCCTCAGCCCTCCAGAGTAGCTGGGACTACAGGCATGCACCACCACACTCGGCTAATGTTTCCTATTTTTGGTAGAGATGGGGTCTTGCTCTTGTTCAGGCTGGCCTCCCAGAGTGCTAGGATTACAGGTGTGAGCCACTGCTACCAGCCATAAACATTTTAGATCATTTAATGATTTCTAATAGGTACTTCATTTGTTAACAGTAGAATTATCTTTACAATTTTATATCTCTATTCTAATAATACATTTCTATTATTCCATGTTAGTAAATATATTTTTTTACCTGATAGTTCATCTACAAGACTGATAACATCATCTGCTGTCCACTCTTTAGTGCCTGTGTCATATAGTAATTTAATGGCATCAGCCAAACCTTTCAGACTGGATTCATCTGTAGGTCCTTCTACCATTTTCTGCCAAACCACCTGTCCTGAATTGAAACAAAAACTAGGCTATGACAGAATAGTTGGCTTTGTGATAAAGACTTTATGGATTGTTTAAAAAGGAAAGTGGATTGCGTGATGAAATCCCATTACTTATATTAATATAAGCTATTAATACTTTCATTTTAACTTTCATAATGAAAGGTCAATTCTGATAACAGTATAAATTTGAATGTTTCTTACTGATGTGATGAAGCACAGACAGCAACAATAGCTAAATGAAGTAAATGAAAGTGGTTTCACCTAGCAGAATAGTACTTCTAGTTCAAAGATAATGCTACCCCATAAGAGAAACTGGAATAAGCAATTAATGTAATATTACTAAAATAAAATAAAACCTATGGATGTCCTTCTAAAAAAAGAGAATATACTATATTTGAGACTCTCTCAAATATTTCTATCAGGACAGAATAATTCAGTTAACTTTTGATTATTTATCATGATCAATTATCTTTGTGGAGTACAGAAAACAAAATTTTAACCCCAGACTGGCTTCCTCTGCTACTCAACATACTTTAAGCTTATTACCTCTCAGTCAATGTGAACTGGAGAAATGCATGATATTTTTAACATTAATCTAAGCAAAATTAGACAAAAACTTGCAAAAATTCCTATTTCATCCCAAACTAAATAAAACATCAGTTCTGACTACCACTTTGCTTCACTAGCACTATTAGTTGCCTCTGGTAGCAAACATAACCTTGAGTTAAGATAATATTTAAATATGAAAAGCAGCTCTTTTAGGTAAACCAGGGATGATAGGAATATATTTGATAATGGCCTATAGCAGAACAATTTACTTCTTAGACTAGTTTAGGCGATGCACAAGTTAGTGTAGTATATACCTATGAATCGTGAAACAGTTTAGTCATTAGAAATGATGAAAACTGAGCAGCTGCAAAAAGATTTGCTTCCTAAAGTAAAAGTAATTAACCAGTTACGTAACATACGTCTCTGAAAAATGAGTGCTCACCATCCTGAGGAGAGATTGGACCAAAGATGATATACAGTAATCTTGCCTGATTCACCATTGGCCACGGTCTTAATAGTCGCGTCAACCAAAAAGCTGAATCACTTCGATGTGTCCAGTGATCAAGCAGGACACTCCTACAGAATAATCTGATCCTTAACTCCAGTTTTCGGGCACTTCCTATGAAGACAAAAGAATTGTAAACCATTCTTCCTAGAAAGGTTGATGTGCATATTGGATAGTGATCAGAACAACTTATTAACCATTTGTAAACAGTGATCATAAACTGGGTTTCTAAACAAGATGTAACCAAGAGATTATCTGTTCTTCTGATGACCTAATTTCAATATTGGCTATCTACTTACCCTTACCTTCCTGATTTGTAAATACTTTGAATAATGGGTCAATCAAAAGACATGCTTAAGTTTACCAAAATCTTATACAATTTTGGATTTAAAAATAAATAAATGCAGAGAAAGGTAAAAGACATACATCATTAATATACTTTGAAATAATGAAAGCATTATTTCATTTCCTTATATAATAACTTTAGATTATTAAGGGACTACTTTTTTTTTTTAGACAGAGACTGACTCTGTTGCCTGGGCTAGAGTGCAGTGGCGTCAGCCTAGTTCACAGCAACCTCAAACTCCTGGGCTCCAGGGATCCTCCTGCCTCAGCCTCCTGAGTAGCTGGGACTACAGGCATGTGCCACCATGCCTGGCTAATTTTTTCTATATATATTAGTTGGCCAATTAATTTCTTTCTATTTTTAGTAGAGACGGGGTCTCACTCTTGCTCAGGATAGTTTTGAACTCCTGACCTTGAGCGATCCACCCGCCTTGGCCTCCCAGAGTGCTAGGATTAGAGGCATGATCCACCGTGCCCGGACTTTAAGGGACTAATTTTTTTTTTTTTTTTTTTGAGACAGAGTCTCACTTTGTTGCCCAGGCTAGAGTGAGTGCCATGGCGTCAGTCTAGCTCACAGCAACCTCAAACTCCTGGGCTCAAGCAATCCTCCTGCCTCAGTCCCAAGTAGCTGGGACTACAGGCATGTGCCATCATGCCCAGCTAATTTTTTCTATATATGTATTAGTTGGCCAATTTATTTCTTTTATTTATAGTAGAGACGGGGTCTCGCTCTTGCTCAGGCTGGTTTCGAACTCCTGACCTCGAGCAATCCGCCGGCCTCGGCCTCCCAGAGTGCTAGGATTACAGGCGTGAGCCACCGCGCCCGGCCTAAGGGACTAATTTTAAAAACTGCTTTTTGAGATATAATTCACATACTTTACCCATTTAAAGTGTACAATTCAATGGTTTTTAGTATATTCACAGATATGTGTAGCCATTACCACAGTCAATTTTAGAACATTTTCATCTCTTCAAAAGGAAATCCTGCTCTTTTAGCTATCACCCCCCTATCTCTCTGTCCTTTACTACCCCCAGCTCTAAGCAACCAATACTCTATTTTCTGTCTCCATAGATCTCCCATTCTGGATTTTAATACGAATTAAATCATATAGTATGTGGCCTTTTGTGACTGGCTTATTTCATTAAACATAGTATTTTCAAGGTTCATCCATCTTGTAGCATATATCAGTACTTCATTTCTTTTTATGGCCAACCAATATTCCATTGTATAGATGTACCACATTTTGTTTATCCATTCACCCAGTGATGGACATTTGGGTTGTTTCCACCTTTTGACTATTATGAATAGTGCTGCTATTAACATTCATGTTGGCCAGGCGCAGTGGCTCACGCCTGTAATCCTAGAACTCTGGGAGGCCGAGGTGGGCAGATTGCTTGAGGTCAGGAGTTCGAAACCAGCCTGAGCAAGAGTGAGACCCCCATCTCTACTAAAAATAGAAAAAAATTAATTGGCCAACTAATATATATAGAAAAAAAAATTAGCTGGGCATGGTGGTGTAGTCCCAGGAGGCTGAGGCAGCAGGCTTGCTTGAGCCCAGGAGTTTGAGGTTGCTGTGAGCTAGGCTAACGCCACGGTGATCACTCTAGCCTGGGCAACAAAGCAAGACTGTCTCAAAAAAACAAAACAAAACAGAACAAAAATTCATGTACAAGTTTCTGTGTGGACATATGTTTTCATTTCTCTTGGGTATACACCTAGGAGTGGAATTGCTGGATCATATGATAACTCTATGATAACTCTGGAACTGCCAAACTGTTTTCTAAAGTGACTGCACCATTTCATATTTCCAACAACATTATGAGGGTTCCTATAGCTTCACATTCTTGCCAACACTTGTTTTCTAACTTTTTGATTCTAGCCATCCTAGTAGATGTAAAATGGTATTTCACTGTTTTTGGTTTTTTGAACCACTTTATTGAAATATAATTTACACAACATAAAATTCACCCATTTAAAGTATACAATTCAATGGGTTTTGATGTTTTATATTACTGATTTTTTACATTGTGGTAAAATATAGATAACATAAAATTTGCCATTTTAACCACTTTTAAATGTACAATTCAGTGGTGTCAATTACATTCACAATGTTGTTCAACCAACAACACTGCCTATTTCCAAAACTTTTTCATCACTCCAACACAGACTCTGCAACCATTAAGCAATAACTCTCCATTCTCCCCTGCCCTTAGCTCCTATCTCCTGGTAACCTCTGATCTACTTTCTGTCTCCACGAATTTGTCTGTTCTAGGTATCTCATATACATAGAATCATGCAATATTTGTCCTTTTGTTCCTGGTTTCTCTCATTTAGCATAATGTTTTCAAGGTTCATCCATGTTATAGCATATGCCACATTTTCTTTATCCATTCATCTGTTGATGGATACTTGTGTTTCGGCCCTTTGGCTATTATGAATAATGCTGCAATGAACACTAGAATACATGTATCTAAATCCCTGCTCCTCAGTTCCATTAGGTATATACCTAGGAGTGGAATTGCTGGGTCATATGGTAATTTTGTTTAGCTTTTTGAGGAACAACCAACCTGTTTTCCACAGTGGCTGCACCATTTTATACTTTACATTCTCACACCATTTACATTTTACTTACTTGTAGCTAAAATAAGTATAAGTGAAAAGTCTACTAATGATCTAAGGCCATATGTAAGTACTCCCTGGTGTGTCAAGCCAAGTAACATGGAAGTTTAGAGGAGAGAGATTACCGCAGGTGTGGGGAGATCACGAAACGCTTAACTGAGGAGGTCAGGCAAATTGAGTCCTAAAGGATGAGAAGGAGAGAGTGTGTATCAGGAAAATTAGATAGAATAAATAAAAGGTACTGAGATAGAAATGTTTAAGGGGTGTCTAAGACACAATGAGCAGAGCAATATGCCTATGTCAAACTGATATAGAAAGTAGTGGGCAGTAGATTTGAAAAAGTAGATTGGGGCCAGAATGTGGAGGCCAGAATTAATAATTTGGACTTTATTTTAAAGACATCAGAGAGGTAACAAAAGTTTTTGATTAAGGGAAGGACATGAAAATTAATTTTCTTATTGTTTCATCGGGATTCTAAATATGCCTTTTTGATCTATAATTGTTTTATTATGAAATATTTCAAGCTGACAGAAAAAAAGAGATACCATAACAAATACAGCATGCCTATCACCTAGCTTTGCTAAAGCTTTATTTTTTGCTATATTTTCTTTAGATTTAAAAATAAGTAAAACATTACACAGATACAGTTAAAGCTTCTTGTATATCACTTCTAATCCCTTTCCCCTTCCTCCCCAGAGGTAACCAACATCCTGAATTGGGCTTTATCCATCCTGTACTAGTCAGGGTTCTCTAGAGAAACAGAACCAACAGGATGGATGGGTGTGTGTATGTGTGGAGAGAGAGAGAGAGAAAAAGAGAAAGAGAGAGAGATTGATTTTAAGGAATTGGCTCGCGTGGTTGTACAGGCTTGGTTAAGTCCAAAATCTGCAGGGTAAGCTGGCAGGCTGGAGACCCAGGGAAGAGTTGCACTCCAGGTCCAAAGGCAGTCTGCTGGCAGAATTCCTTCTTGCTTGAGGAGGTCAGCCTTTTTCTATTAAGGCTTTCAACTGATTGGATGAGGCCCACCCATATTATGGAGGGTAATCGGCTTCACTCAAAGTCTACTAATTTAAATGTTAAGTTCATCTAAAAAAAATACCTTCAGAGAAACACCCAGAAGAATGTTTGACCAAATATCTGGGTACCATGGCATAGCCAAGTTGACTATACAAAATTAACCACCATACTATCCAACTATGTTCTTATAATTTTTTACACATGTAATGTAACCATAATGAATAAATATAATTGTTTTACATGTTTTTAATATGTATACAAATGGTATCATACTGAAAGTATCCTTTGGTAACACTTTTTTCTCAAATTATGTTTTAAGATTTATCCATATTAATATATATATAGCTCTAGTTCATTCATTTTAACTGCTGATGGTTTTAATTATATGAATATACCAAAATTCATTTATCCATTCTCCTGACAATAGGCATTTAGATTGTTTGCAGTTTTTCATGGTTACAAATAATGCTGCAATGTTCATTCTTTCACATCTCCCTGTGTACATTTTGGGAATTTCTCAGAAATTGCTAGATGTAAGAGTCTATAATTTTGAAAATATGAAATATTTCACATTTATAGAAAGGTTTAAAGAATATCATAATGAATTCTTACATTCACCACCCAGCTTAAGGAATAAATTATTATCAATATGGTTGAAGCTCTCTGAGTAATTCTTTCTCCAATTGCACACTGCTTTTTGCCTCACTATCCCATTCAGTGTTTATCATTCCCTTACACCTTACATTTCTTTGTTCTTTTACTATATATGTATGCTATAACGTATTTTTTTTTTTTGAGACAGAGTCTCACTCTGTTGCCTAGATTAGCGTGCTGTGGTGTTAGCATCGCTCACAACCTCAAACTCCTGGGCTCAAGAGATCTTCCTGCCTCAGCCTCCCAAGTAGCCGGGACTACAGGCATGTGCCACCATGCCCTGCTAATTTTTTTCTATATATTTTTAGTTGGCCAATTGATTTCTTTCTATTTTTAGTAGAGACAGGGTCTTGCTCTTGCTCAGGCTAGTTTCAAACCCCTGACCTTGAGCAATCCTCCTGCCTCGGCCTCCCAGAGTGCTAGGATTACAGGTGTGAGCCACCGTGCCAGGCCCTATAATGTATTTTTAAGTACATTTTTGAACTCTGCTTTTTTTTTTTCTATTTTAATCTCTGTATATTATTTGCAAATTGTAGATCTTTACCTGGTTTGCTGCAGACAACAGTCTGCATCTTACGGGAGAGGTTCGTCAGCTCACACAAAAAGTTAAAAACGCGGTGACACTCAAGTTCATCCCAGCCTGCTGTTAAGGTCTGAGGAAAATAAAATACAAGAAACATTGTGGATGTTCAGACCATCAAATTAAAATGTACATCACTACTGCTTTATGAGCATAACTTTTTAGCACATGATCAAGGTGACATGCAATTTTTATCCACTATGGAACTAACAAATTAATAAGCAATTTATGTAAACAAAACCTGGAAAGGCTGCAAAATCCAAGTTTTTTTTTGGTTGGAAAGGAAGTATCATTTTAGAGAGCTTTTAAATGGTATTGAATCCTGAACTTTGACAATATGAGGAAAATAACAAAGTAAGGCTAAAGCCCACAGCTTTAGACATCTGACTCAGAACCACACACTGTAGCTTAGACTCCCTATGACCCACCTCCAGTTGTCATTTATGATACTGCTTACAAATGACCTCATTTTAATGTGATAATTCTGAGCATTTTTGACTTCTGGATGTGAACATCCAAAAAAAACTTTTATTAGGAAAGATTTATACCTTTGAACCTACTAGAATGTACAAACATATATGAAAAGGAGATTCAAATGGTTGATAACTCTAATTGTATTTTGAAAGGTTTATTAATCAAATAAATTCTTCTTAAAATAGTTAACTGGATTTAAGGAGTTTAAAAATGAATCTTAAGTAGGAGGAGGGAGGAGGGGATGGGTAAATTCACACCTAACAGGTACAATGCACACTGTCTCAGTGATGAACATACTTATAATTTAGACTCAAATTGTAAAAAAGCAATTCATATAACAAAAACTTTTGCACCCCCATAATATTCTGAAATTTAAAAATTTAATAAAGTAAAAGAAACTGGTAACAGTGATTACTTCTGATAAAGGGAACTCAGGGGACAAGGAGTGCTTTTGTAAAAAATAATAAATAATAATTATTATTATTATAATAAATAATAATAAATAAAGTGCTTTTCACTTTATACATTTTGCTCAGGAGTTCGAGACCAGCCTGAGCAAGAGTGAGACCCTGTCTCTACTAAAAATAGAAAGAAATTGCTAGGACAGTTAAAAAATATATAGAAGAAACAAGCCGGGCATGGTGGCGCATGCTACTTGGAATGCTAAAGCAGAAAGATTGCTTGAGCCCAGGAGTTTGAGGTTGCTGTGAGCTAGGCTGATGTCACGGCACTCTAGCCCGGGCAACAGAGTGAGACTCTGTCTCAAAAAAAAAAAAAAAAGAAAAGAAAAGAAAAAGAAAAAATAAATTCTCTCTCTATACACACACAAACACAGATACACACGTGCATGCATGCACGCACATACACTACCCTATAATATTTCTAGTCTTTACAATTGGCTGGAAACTTTGAGGACATTGGTATAGAGTAAATAAATATCAAACATTTTCACCACTGAAAAGCTCAAGAAGATAATCTGGGATGGCAAACACACTATTAGATTAATATGTCTTTAAATCTTTATAATTTTATTTTGCTGTCTTTAAAATTATTATAACTTCTATTAATCTATGGAAAGATAGATTACATACTCTACTTGTTAACCATTCAAAAAGCATCCCTTTTCTTCTTTCATTAAAAAAAGTACCTGTAAAAACATTCCATAACATGGTAATCCCAAACATTGCATAGGAGCTGCACAGCCATTGAATTTAAAACAGGAAACCTGTAAAGAGAACAATTGTTAATACCTCCTTTTCAGTGAAACTATACAATGATTTGACATTCAAATTTAATGGAAATGAATAAGAATTCTTTCAGTATATATTCTGATTAGCATTGTGTTATATAGGTGAGGATTACAAAAGAAGTATAAAACAAATTATCTGCCCTCAAGGAGCTCACAATTTATTTGGGAGAATAAGATATACCCACATGAAATTATTACAATAATTTAGGTCAGAATATTTATAAATGTAAAAATGAATGAATAAATACTATAATCAGATAATATAAAAACTTGGAAAAGATAAATGTGGGAATGATCCAAAGAGTTTAATGAAGGAAACATATAATAAGCAATGTCTTAAAGTAGGAATTTTTTTTTTTTTTTGAGACAGAGTCTCGCTTTGTTGTCCAGGCTAGAGTGAGTGCCGTGGCGTCAGCCTAGCTCACAGCAACCTCAAACTCCTGGGCTCGAGTGATCCTTCTGCCTCAGCCTCCCGAGTAGCTGGGACTACAGACATGCGCCACCATGCCGGCTAATTTTTCTATATATATCAGTTGGCCAATTAATTCTTCTCTATTTATAGTAGAGACGGGTCTTGCTCTTGCTCAGGCTGGTTTGAACTCCTGACCTTAAGCAATCCGCCTGCCTCGGCCTCCCAGAGAGCTAGGATTACAGGCGTGAGCCACAGCGCCCGGCCTTTTTTTTTTTTTTTTTTTTTTTTTTTTTTTTTTTTTGAGACAGAGTCTCACTTTGTTGCCCAGGCTAGAGTGAGTGTCGTGGCGTCAGCCTAGCTCACAGCAACCTCAAACTCCTGGGCTCAAGCAATCCTGCTGCCTCAGCCTCGCGAGTAGCTGGACTACAGGCATGCACCACCATGCCTGGTTAATTTTTTCTATATATATCTTAGTTGGCCAATTAATTTGTTTCTATTTATAGTAGAGACAGGGTCTCGCTCTTGCTCAGGCTGGTTTCGAACTCCTGACCTCAAGCAATCCACCTGCCTCGGCCTCCCAGAATGTTAGGAATATAGGCGTGAGCCACCAGCACCCGGCCTAAAGTAGGATTTAGATATAAAGAATGGAAAGTATTGGTGAGGGAAACAATAAGAACAAAATTGAATGGAGGTAGAATAAACAATGTTCATTTGGTAAGAAAGATATGACAAGTTTAATTAGGCTCAAAGTAATAGGAAATAAGGTTGCATTGTTGGAAAAATCCTAAATACCAGCAATAGACTTCGGACTTTATCTTCCTGAAATTGAGTAGCCACTAAAAGATTTCTAAATAAGAAAGTTATCTGGATGAATGTGATGCTTTAGGAAGAATAACCTTAATTCAGCACACAGAATGGTTTGGAGAGTAATGAAATGAATGGCAGAAAGATCATTTGGGAAGCTGCTGCAATAATATAGACCAAAATTCAACGCAAATACTGACATGAAAAAGTCAGTGCATCAGAAAGTTAGCATAGTACTCTGTGTAGAACTGAACCATCAGAGTTGGATGTTTGTTTGGATTTGTACAGTAAAACTCAGTCTTATTTAGAGATTATGCCCAAATGCATTGATACACATATCTAAATCTACTATCATAAAAGGTCTGTCATTTTATATATTAAAAATACCCTCTTATGTTTTTGTGCATTTAAACAATAAGATTTTTTTTTTTTTTGAGACAGAGTCTCGCTTGTTGCCCAGGCTAGAGTGAGTGCCGTGGTGTCAGCCTAGCTCACAGCAACCTCAAACTCCTGGGCTCAAGCAATCCTGCTGCCTCAGCCTCCCGAGTAGCTGGGACTACAGGCATGCGCCACCATGCCCGGCTAATTTTCTATATATATTAGTTGGCCAATTAATTTCTTTCTATTTATAGTAGAGACAGGGTCTCGCTCTTGCTCAGGCTGGTTTCGAACTCCTGACCTCGAGCAATCCGCCCACCTCAGCCTCCCAGAGTGCTAGGATTACAGGCGTGCGCCACTGCGCCCGGCTAACAATAAGATTTTAACATTTAGAAATTATTTCATTTTAATAAATACCTAAATCATCACTTAAAAATTTCCCCAGTATTCTTATGTGGGATAAAAATACTTTATACTCTGAGAAATATAATAAATTTGACTGATGTCCTTAGTTACATATAAAAATTGTTTTACAATAAGTAAAAGACTACTGTACTACATTTTGGTGTTATATAATCTCCAAGTACTTTGTAAAGTATTAGATTACGATAAATCAAATTTTGAAATTCCACTAATTAAAGATAGATTTAAAATGAGTATAAGGCATTAATAATAAAACATCTTTATGATAATCAAAATTGTGAACTAATTCAGAAGTAGGATCTTACTTCTGTTAGTATTTTGTGAATATACTTTAGCCTTTCCTTGGTGGGTAGCAGCAACGTGCATCTTTTAAACAGTAGACCTAAGAAAGTAAAAAGACACACAAAAAAATGATAACAATGCAATCAATTTAAGAATATCAATAGAGCAAAGCATAATGTTTCCTGAAAGTCAAGTATGGTATATCACAGTGGAAAATGAGTTGATATGATTTTTAAGAAAAAGTTTGGGAGGACGGGTGTAAAATACTTACATGGTATTTACCAAGTGACCCTGATGTCTATCTAAGAGTCTTTAACATGCGATCTTGCTGAAAATTTTAAAATTGATACTACAGGACATATGTGGGAAAATATTTAAAGTTAAAAAACACAATAATAAGACATAAACATACACTAGGGAAACTTTATTTTGTCTATTACATAGAAAACAGATTCCAATATCTCTTGAAATTAACCTCATGTCCACAAAGGAAAATGTTTTAAGAGTTGTTAACGTAAAACATGGAAAGAATGAGAAAAGAGATTTTTGTACTCCCCTCTCCAAATATAAAAATTTTAAGTCATAAATACTTAAAATTTCAGAGGTTAGATTTCTTTTTCTCTCACAGAAAGTATTCAGTAAGGATGAAATATCTATCTCTTCCTTCGAAAATATCCTTTTATGGGGATTGCATGTTAAGAATGTACAGGATTTTGTGTTCAGATATTTATGAAAGAAAAAACCCCTTCAATTTCACACTGCTATATGTAACTTGAACTACAGTGACAGGAAGTGTTTGATTTGTTTCCTCTAAGTATTCTGTTTTCCTAAAATGGCAATACATTGTTAACATTCCTATAAGGGCAAATGTACTCAATCTAAAAATAAGATACATGGTAGGAAAATATGTACCTGAATCTCATGAATCTTCAGTTTTCATCTTCTCTGCATTTACTTTTTTAATAACTGAAGAATCTATGGGAATCTCATTTATTTTTAGAAGTTGCTATGTTTGGGTAACACATGAACAGAATTAAGTTCTAAACATAATCCCTCCTTATTTTTGTATAAAAAAAGATATTTTTCAATGTTTAGTTTTTAGGCTGAATTCTTTTCCTTTCATACTTTGGCTTCTAGTCCCATGACATATTATAGCTGAGGAACTATAAGAATGTATTATCAGTTAGTTGCCTGTTCTTATATAAAACTCCTATTTTTAAGGATTGCAATTTATGATAAAACCCGATATGTTCTGACTTTTTTTTTCAACACAGGTGTTCTGCTATACCCTTTAGAGACCAACTTCTTTAACTTGTTCCCACTAAAATAGAGTCAGATACAATGTTCTTTCCACACTGGCCATCTGCTCTGTTTTATATGAAGAAGCAAATTAAAATTTATAATCTTCAAAGCACAGGATTCTGAAAATGTTATTTTAATGTGTGAAAATAAGAACAGATCAGATAGGAATGGCAACATGAGAAAACGGTAAGTATATCAAACATTTACCTAAAGAATCAGTCATAAGCCAGGTGTCTGGATTAAAATTAAATGGAAGCTTCAATCATTACATGAATAAAAACATTTTAAAAAGCTAGCTATTAAGATTACTATATATCTGTATTTTTAAACTGAATTATCCTTATAATTGTCTTAATGCTTTGTTTGTTTGTTTAAACAATTGAGATTTGGTCAGGGAGGAAAAAATTCAAGTACTACTTCTCCTGCAACTAATGATGTTTAAAAAAAGACATTTACAATGAGAAGTAGCAAAAAGCAATTGTCATATTTTGTTACAGAATTTACTAAACCTATTCATAAATACTGAAACCAACATTATAATCAGGTTACATATTTTTCATTCAGTCTTTTTAATACACAGGTAATTATCAAAATACTATGATATATTTACATATCTATGCAGTCTCATTTTATTATCTTTTTTTTTTTTTTTTTTTTTTTTTTTGTTGCCCAGGCTAGAGTGAGTGCCGTGGCGTCAGCCTAGCTCACAGCAACCTCAAACTCCTGGGCTCGAGTGATCCTTCTGCCTCAGCCTCCCGGGTAGCTGGGACTACAGGCATGCGCCACCATGCCCGGCTAATTTTTTTATATATATATATCAGTTGGCCAATTAATTTCTTTCTATTTATAGTAGAGACGGGGTCTCGCTCAGGCTGGTTTTGAACTCCTGACCTCGAGCAATCCGCCCGCCTCGGCCTCCCAAGAGCTAGGATTACAGGCGTGAGCCACAGCGCCCGGCCTCATTTTATTATCTTAAAGCTAGGCATCCCTAGGTTACTAAAAGGCAATATTCACTTAACTTGCTATTATGCATTTATTTAAATCACAACATTATCTTAAGATTTGGTTTTATTGCCATGCTTTCATTATTATAAAGTGTTTTCATAATTAAATTGGTGTCATTAGTCAAATCAAAATTAGAATTTTATTTCAGCACTCTTAGGGAGAATGAAATTGATGAATGGGGTAAAAGACATAAATGATTATAAGTCCAGGGAAGAAAGATCATACAGAATTTACTTTGATAAGGTCAATTTAATTAAACCATAATAGTTTATTAGTAAATGTGTAGCATGCTTAAAATAAACCCGTAGTTTCTGATAAGAGAATAAATAATCTTCCACAATATGTTTAGATTTCTTTTCTATTTTTAAGAACTAGATTATGGTTGAAAGGGAAAAAAGATATAGAAGTAGGACTCATTAGACCCATAGGAAGTAAAGCATAGAAAATACATCAATTTCCTAAAATGGTAAGCCACCTAGACAATAAGCATAGGTGACATTTTATTTATTTTACATTAAAGTTCATTTTCTTGTCTTTACAGATAAATGTAAAAAATTGTTGTTTAGGGAAAGTCCTCACACTGAAGAGTAGAAACATCATAGAAATAGGCACATTTTAGAAAATATTCCATTTCCCACTGGCCTTACAGAATTTTATAATAAATTCCTCTTAATTAAGCATAGTTCTTTACTTGTTGCTATTCTCATTACATAAATTACCTAGAGATTTGTAGTGTTCCAATATAGCTGAGTCTTGTCTCCTGCCAGGCAGCTCAAGGTTATGAAAGTCCTGTAGTAAAAGTCTTTTGCTTCCTGACGAGGTTGAGATATAATTAATAATTTGCTGGCTGACTGTTTTGGACACCATGCTTAGCATGCTGATATCCTTCACTATCAAAAGAAATATATATATATATATATATATATATATACACACATTTATATATGAATAAATGGCTTAAATGCAAGAATATCACTATTAGTACACTATATAACTTAACTCAATAATAATTATAATAATACACCATTGGGAAAAAAGAGAAAAATCTTAATAGTGTTTTAAATTCAGTTCTCAATTAGAAACATGTTGGGATGTCACAATCAAATTACCATGACATCATCATTAGAAGCATGCTTTAAAGAGTCTGAATATTGTGCTTTCTCATTGTACCCCTTATCTGACAATGATGAAACTTTAGAAAAAAATCTTCATGTTAATGCCATTAACATTTTAGCAGGGACTATGATGACAAACTAATTCTTGGGAAAAATTAAAATATCTTAGCGTCTTGTGTAGCCTATTCACAGTCCCCAAATCTCACCTGACAAATATCTTAAAATTATTTGGAATATTTCCAATGGCAAGGCTTTAAAACTTCCAAGTGTTGATAAGGGCTGAGAGTCTGAGCCAAGAGTGTTGGAAAAATAGCTGGATCGACGATTACTACGTCTACATTTCTGGTTGGGAATCAAAGTGAAACTGGTATTTATTCTGGATGCCATCCTTGTTCTTAGCTCATCAGTTTATCCTGGTTAGAAAAACAAAGTACAAGAGACAAAGAAGGGAAATTAAAGCAATGCAGAGCTGGTTTTCATTTGTTTGTTTATTTATTTATTTTTATTTTTTCGAGATAGGGTCTTACTCTGTTGCCTAGGCTAGAGTGCAGTGGCATGATCATAGCTCACTGCAGCCTTGAACTCCTGGGCTCAAGTGATTCTCCTGCCTCAGCCTTCCAAAATGCTGAGATTATAGGCATGACCCACCATGCACAGCCTGTTTGTTTTTAATGAAGAGGTTGCTGCTATGACGGGCAATGCGCAATAGCTGTCTCCATATTTACAAAAGTTTTAATGTGATGACTAATTTGTGGAGTTCCAATAGAGTCTATTTATTCATCTCAGCATCATTTCAAAAAATTTTAAATCCTTTACCTCCTGGCCAAATAGTCTAGATAAAGTTTTAGTAGGAAATGAGGCATGTATTTGGATGAGATATATTTTAAGACAAGAAAAATGCAAAATAGTAAAAAAATAAATAAAAGATTTGACACAAAATCAATATAACACAAAATACATTCAATATCTGTTAATTAGTATGTTATTTTTATAATCTTTATATTTTAAAAATTAAAGCATTAATGTAGATTTAAAATTTGTAGTAATGTTTTTCTATTTCTTAAAAACTCAGCAACAACATGTTCTTTTATTTGAAACAATAAAAACAAAGAGAGACTTTGTGTTTAGAGCAATTTAAATAGAGACTTTGTGTTTAGAGCAATTTAAATTTACTAGCTCTAATAGATTAAGTAGGTGATATTACTATTACCAATCATGTGCTGTATAATATACAACTAAGCAGTGAAATTAGTCTTATAAAATTAATAAGACTAGAATAGATGAATAGTAATACTTTGTCCCTCAGTTCCACTTTTTGTTAATAGTAGTGAGTGATATGTCTTAGGAAGGGCCTATACAACTTGATTTCAAAAATGAATATTTCCTAAAGGAAACTTATTAAATATAACTTATTAAAACCACTGATTATTTACTTACACTAAATAATAATAATATACACACATATCTCACACAGTGACTCTGTCACTTTATTGCTTCAGTTCAGAAAATGTCTATGTGTATATATACATACACATATATATGTGCATAACTGTAATGCCAATATAAGGCTCCTTGTTTCTGAAGTAACAACTAAGACATCTCATCAAACAGTTACAAACATATCTGGCCAAAATACAATTTCTCCTTTTTATACAAAATGGCTAAAGTCACATTGTTACCTATTCATCTCAAAAGGTTACATATCAACTTATATCAATTTAAAATTAGTTATACATTTGAAAACATGACAAAGAAATTCAGTGCTTAGTGAAAAGCATAATCTGAACCTCCTTTCAAACCAAACCATATTGTTTTGCTTCAGCATTCAGTAAACATTTAAATTAGTAGACATTTTAAAATAATCATTAAAATTACACTAATAACATGTCAAAAAGCTTACAAAATACATCTAAACAAAAAGAAAATTAAATTCACTTGTAAACACTTTGGTTTATATCACTCCAGAATTTTACATATATATTTATTCCTTTTTAACAAAAAAGGGAGATCACCATTCATGCTCTTATTTTGTAATCTGCTTTTTTCAATGAATTCTCTTTCTATGCTAATAAATATACTTCTACAAGTATACACATTTTAATGGCTGCATGTAATTCTACCAAGTGGAAGAATCTTAGTTTATTTAATCTCTGAAGTTGTTTTTAACTTTTCACAGGTGTTTAAAGCATTTTAATATCAATAAAATATAAATCTAGCCTAGGATTTGCCCTGTTTCTTTAAGGAATCTTGTAAAGTGGGACTTGGGTGGGGCCTGCGGGGTTTTCAAAGTCTCACTGACACCCTGTGGTTGGAGACTCTGGTGTGTCAACTAGGTATATATCCAGTTAAACCTTTGAGGAGATTAAAAAATAATGGGCCCCAATTCTTTTAAAATTCAAGTCTCCTCTTTACAATTCCTTATTTTCCTCACTCAGACTTGGATGTTTTGCGGGGTAAACAGAGGGTTTCCTGAAAATCCTAAAGGGTGTAATCTCAAATTAGTTCTAGTTTCCTTTCACCTTTCTGGGGAACAGGAATCACAGAGCAAAATAATAACAAAATAATGTTCAATGCCCCTGTCCCATCCCGCTAGTTTTGACTATGTGTGAAAGGTTTTGAGGGCCTGATTGGATGAACTCTTTTCCCCTTTCAGAGAAAAACGTCAAAAAGCAATTCACCGGGATTTCTGTTTGTTTTAACATAAAATCCTTCGAAGAGACCCATCTGCTCGTGTACTAGCCCAAAATATCTCCAAAGAGGCAAACTAGGGAGACCTAAAAGAGAAATTGGTCAATATGAGAATCAAACCACCTGGTGATGCATTTTTTAACCCCTTCAGTCTATGAAAAGATGAAATTATCTCAAGAAAGTATTGAGGGAAAAAAACCTTCTTTTTACCACAGATTTTGACAGTTTTCCGGCTAAAGAGTCACAGGAAAATGGGATTTAGTCGCTTTACCCCACCATCCTCAAATTTCTTAGTGTTTAAAAAAGAAAGTATCTCCTCAAGGTTTTCCCACCAGGAAGTGGGAGTGTCCGGCTCCGGTCGGCTCCGGAGCTGTGTTCCCGCCTCCCAGGCGCCCCCGTGGCCTCAGGAATATTTTAGAATCCTCCCAGGAGCCCCAGCGGGGAGCAGGCCCCGCCCCCTCATGAATAGCAAGAAACCTCGGCTCGCGTAGTGCCCTCCCCCCTCATGAATATTTTAAAATCCTCCCAGGAGCCCCAGCGGGAGGGAGGCCCCGCCCCCTCATGAATAGCAAGAGAACCGGCTCCCATAGTGCCCTCCTTCTCATGAATAATCAATGAGGGTGAAGTTCTCTTAGGGGCAAGTTGAAGACAGGAAGGGGCTGGAGCCGTTACAAGCGGAGGGAGGGGAGGGTTCCGGAACCTGGCGGGCCACACAGTTGCTTCACTTCCTTTCCCTGCACCTAGTCTTGAGCCAGTCCCTCAACCCCCACCCTAATTAGGGTAAGTTACAGGAGCTTTCATCAAACCTTTTGTTGGGGAAAAACCTCCAGACATTCCTTTTTAAACCTATCTGTCTGGAATCAAAGAAAGATGTGTGTCTCCAGCTCTCTCAAGATGGAGTCCAAGACAGATCTTTCTAGCTAGGCCTTCAGGCCTTGAAGACTAAATTCTCATTCATTCATTCATTAACTATTTATTGAAACCTGCTCTGGGCCAGACAGTGGAGTAGTCCCTAAGGCTACAATAAGTTTCCTGCCTTAATGGAGTTTATTAGTCTAATGCGGAAGATAGAATAAACAGACAAAGCGTCTACAGATGGTGAGAGCAGTGTTAGGAAATAAGGCAACAGGCAACAGAGAATAACTCAGTGTGTGTGTTGGAGGGGAAGCTACTTTAGATGGACTAGTCTTCAAGGTCTCTTTGATGAGGTGACATCTAATTTGAGAACTAATGGAGGAGAAAGAAGAAGCCAGTCAGGAGAAGGGCTGAGGGAAACGGGAATGGGGGAAAGATTGTCCTGCTTAGACCAACTCCACATTATATCCAACAAGTTAAAATAACTACATAAAGGTTGTGTTGAAATTTAGGATCACTTGGCATGCTGTTATATTATGTAGTCACAAACATTTATCAGTTTTGACTTTGTATCTTTTTGGAACCATTTCTTACTCCTCATCCCGCAACATTTTTACAGGTCCTTGACAAAGTCTCAGCCCCTGGGCAATAGGTCAGGAGGACATAATGCATGCAAGGATCCTGAGTGATGAGAATTTAGATTTTAGTCAAAGTGTCATCTGAAGCCATGGAAAAATTTTAAGAAGAATTTTGAGCAGAGATTAATACGATCTAATTTACATTATTAAAAGATTGCTCCGGCTTTTATGGGTAATGAATGAGGCCAGGAGTGGAAGGTGAGATCTGTAGGATGTTGTTGCAGGACAAGGATGGGAGCCCTGGAGAGATGGGTTTGACATATATTTTGTGAATAGAGTAACTGAATTTGCTGATGAATTATATATGGAGGGAGGGGAAGGAAGGAGATGGGGATGATTCTGAGGTTTCTGACTTTAATAAGTGGGTGGAAGTTAATCCCATTTATGGAGATATGCAAGTGGGAAGGAGTTCTTTTCTAGTGGAGAATTAAGAGTTTAATTTTGCAGGTAGTAAGTTTGAGATGTCTTTGAAACAGCCAAGTGGAGATGTCAAGGTGGCAGTTGAATTTACCAATCTGGAGGTTGGAGGTAAAACTTTGGGCTGGAGATCTACCCAATTAAGGGTTTTCAGCATTAGAGGAATATAAACATTGAGAGATTGGGAAAAGGAGCACGAGTTCTCAGAGGAGATTGAAAAGGAGTGTTTAAGTGAAGTAAACTGGAGAAAACCAGTAGAGTTGGGGTCACAGAATCCTGAAACAAGATGCTTCAAGAATGGGGAGTTGTCAACTGTGCCAAGTGCTGCACGGTGTCCGTTAGATGAGTAGTACTGCAGGTGTCTGCTGGATTTGGCAATTCAGTTTCAGTAGAAGTACTTTGGGTCTACCTTGCTATTTCCTATTTCAAGAACCAGTGGTAACTTTGCCTTGCCAACCTCATCAAACTCAAATCCCTCTGCTATTTCGTAATGTCCTCTGCAGTCTATTTCTTACCTAGTCATTCATTCATTTGTTACATTTGATCCATGGCTATTTTCTGCCAGGTCCAGTGTTAGCATCAGGGTAAATACAGTTTCTGCCTTCTAGTGGCTCATGGTCACAGCACCCAACTTGAACTAAATATATTCTTTTCCTTCCCAAGGATACAAACCTGCTACTCAAGCAGGGGTGGGAGGAGGTGTAAATCTCCTTAGCAAATTTATCCCTATCTCTTTGTGCTGAAACTTCCATCAAAAATGACTTCCTTCCTTACTAAAATTTCCTCCAGGACCTACTTTAAGATTCACACCCTGCATAAAGCTTGTTTCTTCAGTAAGTATGCTTTCTCTTAAGTGATGCTGGGCTGTAAACCTCTTGAGATGCCTTATATCTCTCTTGTATCCTTCATGTAGAAAAGAATAGGCACAAGAGACAGATCTACCATAAGGTTATGGAAACTTAAGCTTCAGGGCCTTCTGCTTGCATTGGCCACTTCCAAGACCTTGGACCTAGTTTTATATTCATAAACAGCAGGTGAAAATTGAAGAAATATTTGATGATGGGCTCAGAATGAACTAACCTCAAATATTTGCTGATTTATTACACTTGCTTTATTAATAGGATCTATGTGAGGATTTTAGTTACTGATTATATATATCATTCCCTTGCCCCAAAGCCTTCAGTGACTCCCCATTGCCTTTAATTAAATATAAGCTTATTCTTCAAGGCCTGCCTCTATGGGGCTGCATTTTAGGTCTTCCAGCCTTATCTCCCTAAACTTTCTTCATTTCCCAAAAACTAAACGCCCCACCGTCACCCTGCTAGTGGTATTCATCTCTCTGCTTGAAAAGCTCTCTCTCCCAACGCCACCTTTTGACATCCTAAAATATCCTTCAGGCTGTTGCTTCTGTAATAGCGGTTCCTGGACCAAGAACTTCACCCAAGAGCTTGTTAGAAATGCAGAATCTCAAATAGCAGCTCAGACCTAGTGAATCCGAACCTGCATTTGAACAAGATCCACAATAAAGTTTGGGATTTACTGACCGAAAGGGGCAGCCTTGCAAAAATAACAAGAAAATACCTAATCCCACATAGGAAAATACCTAATCCTACAATTTCCCCAGTAATGCTTAAAGATCAATCCTATGAGTTCTCTCACTAACAGGCACACTGCAAGAGTTCTGTTTTGCACAACTTCTGAAAAAGCTGAATGAACAGAAAAGAGATGTAAATCTCTCAATTTCCAAATTGTTTTTCTGAGAATCTGCCACAGCAGAAGTAAATAGCCTCAATCCTATCCATAGGACAGAGTCACATCTCCTGTGATAATCCCCTTTCTAAGGAAGTCAGGAAACCAACTCTTGGATTTTGACATCCTTGCAGTTTTTGTTATCTACCTGATACCGCTTTTGTTATCAACTGACAGCCAGCACTATGTTTTTCTTGCCTTCATCCCCTTAAAATCAGTGAGCCACTTGGCCTCACTACTGGTATCTGCTTCTCTTTCTTTGGGATGCCACGCCATCTCCCTGCTCTTCCCAGCCCCTTCCCTTTCTTCCTCTTTCTTTCTCTCTCTCTCTTTCTCTCTCACATTCTAATTCTCTCTATCCTTCTGAGAAGATAAAAGAAAACTTTTTTATCTTAATTTCTGTGTGAGAAATGTTTCTCCACCCATGCCGTGAGCACCTACTAGCCTTCCACCCTAACACTGACTTAGGCCATTTCACAGGCCACCTCCTCAAAGTCTTAACCCTTTTAAAATCCCTATAATGAGAGATGTTTTTCCTCTTTTGAACTCTTCTTTCTTTGCTGGTACTTCTCTCTGGGCACTTAATTCTGCCTTGAATTGTGATTAGTTATGTGCAAGACTTAGTTATCCTGTTGGACTGTGAGGTCTTTGTAGGCTGTAACAGTGGTGTCTCAACTTAGAGATGAGTTAGTTGACTTAGTAAGATCTCCCCACACACACACACATATACCTATGCAGATCTAGGTGATGCTGGTGTTTTAGTTGATCCTTAGAATTTAATTTAATTTAATTTAGACATTAAAAAGCTACTTTTCAGCTGGGCACAGGGCTTTTCAAAATAGTCACATGATTGCTTTTAACTGGGAAATATTTTGAAAGGCCCTGTGCCCAGTGAAAAAGTGGGGGATTCTATTATTATATAAGAATGGAAGAGCAGATATGATATCTGCTGTGGTCCCTGTACAAAAGGTAAGCACATTTTTCATTTTTGGTACATTTTGCCTTCTGGTTTTATCATCCCTTAATCAACAGCTTTTTAATGTCTAAATTAATCTAACAACCTAAGCAAATTTCCTGTTGGTTCTTGATAAAGAAACACAATTGACTTATGTCTTTTTTTTTTTTTTTTTTTTTTTTTGAGACAGAGTCTCACTTTCTTGCCTAGGCTAGAGTGAGTGCCGTGGCGTCAGCCTAGCTCACAGCAACCTCAAACTCCTGGGCTCAAGCGATCCTCCTGCCTCAGCCTCCCGAGTAGCTGGGACTACAGGCATGCGCCACCATGCCCGGCTGATTTTTATATTATATACATTAGTTGGCCAATTAATTTCTTTCTATTTTTATGGTAGAGACGGGGTCTCGCTCAGGCTGGTTTCGAACTCCTGACCTCGAGCAATCCGCCCGCCTCGGCCTCCCAGAGTGCTAGGATTACAGGCGTGAGCCACCGCGCCCGGCCTACTTATGTCTTTTATATAATTGAAAACAATTAAATCCACTTCTAACTTCCGTTCTTTAGAATAAGTAATTTCCTTTCTAGTTTAACTTCCTTCAAGTTTCCAAATTCTATTCCATCCTTCTGAGATATTTCTCATCTTCTATTGATGCCGCTTTACTGTGGTCCCTGTTTGCTACCTTTTCCTCCCACTATATCATAATCATTTGAATTGAATGAATTGAAATATAGTGATTTGATCCTATACTTTTGTGTATTTATTCTTTAACTGAGAG